GACCAATACCTCTACTCTTTTCTACTTGGCGATTAAAATGTATAAATGAATGACCAGACACATTGAATAATAGTGGCGAACTATCATTAACCCACGTTTCTATACATAAGTACAGATGAAATCGGATAAAGCATTACAATGTATGTTTAAACTACGCGAATTAAAAAGTAAAATACTAAAATGATAGTTAATGTTACTGAATTCAGTCGTAAAATCCTCATCAATATAATATTGAAAGTTCAGAAACCTACTGAAATGAAACTCATATTCTTTTTCGGGTAAATAGTTTAAATCATTGATATCAGTATAAGTATCTGTAGTATTACTACCAAACATTGAATGAAGTTCGTCATTATTCAAGTCCTGAATAGGAAATGAACAATGAGAACAGAGTGGGTTATTAATGTAGCCGAATGCTCATGTTCTCTATAACGCTCATTTTACGTATTTTATTACCAGAGAAAAAAAGATGTCAGTCAGTCACTCAATAGTGTCTGAGAGTAAAGTCTAGAAAGTAAAAGGGTTTCCTTACATAATTTCAATACGAGGACACTGCTAACGTTTAAGTTTCACAAATAGGACATACGTGACATATTCATCATTTCAACATTCAACTGAAAATTGTGATATTATCTCATCATCTGATCAAAAAACTAAAAGAACCGTTTTTATAGCCCATGGTCTCAGCTATAACATACCCCAAATAGGGAGAAAACAGAGCACACATAAGATAGATAGTGCTCATAGATGAATGCCATGTAGATTCATGATGTGAACGAAATTCACCTTCCATAGACATAACACGCAAATGACGAAAATTCTGACATGTGGCCTTTAATTGAATTTTGTACTATGATGACCTCATTAAAATGAAACTTAGTGAAAAGTGATCGTGTAGAGAATTGCCTTATCTACAACATATCGACATTTCAAAGAGAATCGATGAATATTGAGAGAAATACACTACATTTTCCATAAATACAATGACGTCATAATATGCAATTTTGTATTTTTGACTTCCAAGGCCATTATGATGACGTTAAGATGTACTTAATGGCCAAATGAGATATGAAATCATACCTCCGACTCATACTCTATCTAAATATGAAAAAAAAAATTGGCAATCCCTATTCATCCCAATGGACTTTTGATAGGCATGTTTTTGCCCATATATGCAATGTATTACAAAAATCGCGCGTACGGACGGTTATCTTGAACGGACGCTCATTCCGTTTTTAATAGTGATAAAGAGCTAAACATGGTATCAAATTGTTCGGAAAAATATGAGGAATATTCTGTCAAAAGTTTTTGCGGAGGAATTATTTTTCATTCGGCCGTGACGAACGAAAACGTGCAAAAATGCGTGTTTTGCGTGATTTTTTATGAAATGCTTATAATGGCCTGAAACGTATGCAAAAAAAATTAAAGACGATTTTGAGCAATTTAAAATTTTACGCGCGCATTAACGCGCGCACCTTCGCGTACGCGCATTTTTGCGCGCATTTATTGACCTGAAATTGACCCGACACATATTGACCTTGATCATGACAAATATGAATGAGAAATGGCTTTCTCTTATGAAGATATGATCATAAGTTGATTTTCACAAAATGGCGCCTGGATGACGTCACGATGATTTTGAGTCTTTGAAAAGTCACGCAGTTCTAAGTTAGACTAAGATCTATCATCATTGAACGTTTCATGACAATGGCTTTATTCAATCTTGAGATATCCTGCGAACAAAATCGAGGAAGAATAATAAGAATAATAGGAATAGGAATAAAAATCTTGACGAAATCAATAGGTGATACGTAGACTTCGTTACGTATCACCTAACTAGACTTTAATTCGTCACTTAGACGAATTAGGTGATACGTATGATAGTGGTTTACATAGCGAATAATGCATTACACGATATATTATTTTGTAAAATGCTTCTCCCATTTATATGCTTCTCCCATTATGATCTATTCATATGTCAAGATTAAATTGTGTCTCCTTGATCATCATGGATCTAGGGAAGATAGATTGAAACAATATATGACCTTTGACCCTGTGCAGTAACCAGTTACATATTTGACTCTAATTTACATCATGAAGAACACCTTTTGACGATTTTTATCTTATTCAAAGAAATGAAAATGTAATTGATAAATGATTATCATCATTATGATAATGATGATCATGATGATCATGATCATGATCATAAGCGCGATTTTGACATTTTATTGAAAAAAAAGAGGGTTGATTTAGATAGCATATAGTCTCAGCTACAACATACTCAAAAATCAACAAAATCCAAGCCGAAATAACGGCGATATTGCTCGCAAAAGACAGGAATGTAGAATCCAGATTTGAAAAAAAAAGTCATCTCCCATAGGGATTACACGCAAAAAGTAATGGATTAAGTAAAAATAGGGTAATAATAAAGTAAAAAGGGTTATTTATGACATTATTTGCGAATCTACGTGTTTAAATAATCAAAGGAGATGGTACAGTGAAGGTCAAAAGGAAAAAAAAAGTGAAAAAAAAAGTGTTGGAGACACCCGGAATCGAACCAGGGATCTCGAGGTTGGAAGTCAAGTGCGTTACCGATATAACAAAACATCTCCCATAGCGATTAATTACACGTAAACGGGAAATGGAATTCAGAAATCCTACTTTGCAAGTGAAATATGAGCATAATCCCGGCATCTGATCGAAATATAAAAGGCACACGTGTGATAGCTTATTGTCTCAGCTACAACATATTCGAAGCTCAGCGAAAACAAAGCTAAAATATGGGAGATTTCGCTCGCAAAAGACAGGAGTGTAGAATCCAGTTTTGAGAAAAAGTCATGTCCCATAGAGAATACACGCAAAATGTGAAAAATTGACATGCCTCCTTTAATCACAAAAGTACGCCTTGATGCCTTAGTCAAAATGAAAAATTGTGGCAACTATACTTGTAGCAAATTGTCTCAGCTAGAACATATCAAAATTTAAAAGAAAATTGATCCATATTTACAGAGATACAATTAATTTTCCAAAAATATGCTGACGTCATAATATGCAAATTGAAATTTTGAGTTTGGAGGCCATTATGATGACATCATGAGTTAATTGAGGGTCAAATGAGACATGAAATCATATCTCCAACTCATAATCTATCTAAATATGAAAACATATTGGGAGTTCCCATCCATTCTGAACAGTTACAATGAATTTTGTATAGGCATGTTTTTGCCAATGTATGGTGGATAAAGATAACGCAGATCTGCGCGTGCTGTCAACTTTGACGGACGCTCATTGCGTTATTAAAAGGTGAACAAGTTATCAAAATGCTTGGAAAAATGTATCAAATATAATGACAGAAAAAATTCGGCGATTCTATATTGCAAAATGCCAGTACGCGCGAAAATGCGCGCGCATGCGCGTGTGCGTAATTTTTTTATCAAATGCTCCATATGGCCTGAAACGGATGTAAAAAAAAATTGGGATGATTTGGAGCATTTTAATTTTTTTCGCGCGCGTAAACGCGCGGACATAAGCGTACGCGCATTTTTGCGCGCATTTATTGACTTGAAATTGACCGGACGGATATTGAGTTTAATCATGATAAATATGAATGAAAAATGGCTTTCCTTTATGAAGATATGATCATAAGTTGATTTTCACAAAATGGCGCCTGGATGACGTCACGATGACCTTGACTGTCTGAAAAGTCACACAGTTCTAAGTTAGACTAAGATCTATCATCATTGAAAGTTTCATGATAATGGCTTTATTCAGTCTTGAGATATCCTGCGAACAAATTCGAGGAAGAATAATAAAAATAAATAATAATAATAATAAAGAAAAATCTTGACGAAATCAAAAGGTGATACGTTGACTTCGTTACGTATCACCTAATAAAAAAATTACAATAACATAATATCGATGACAAAAATATGACTGCATTTCTATCATAAATCCCATAATGCAATAATAACAAGAACATTTTCAATAATGTAACTCAATGAAATAATGAAATGTGAGATGAAAAAAAATCTATACATTGAATAAATACAATGATATCAGTCGTACATAAAATTGATTGCCATTTGTTTTATATACAAATGTGAAATTGTCAGCGACAAGGTGTATGATTCAATAATGGCCCATTAGACAAGCAGACTTCCTTCAAACTTTATCGCAGCTAACTTTCATTCACGAAAGCAATAAACAATAAATATTCGCATGTTGCAATCGAACGTGACTTGAATCTGAGTCAGCGGGTTTCCGTTTCGTGAATGACGTTGATTGATTGTGACGTCATTGCTCGATCTACACAGTAAAAACGCTGCTTAAAAAAGTGATGTTCACTTACAGTTGTACACTATCTTAAACAACAGTTGAACAAATTGTAAACAATGTTGCTCGAAACGAAAGTAATTTTGTTAAACATTCGCTGTTTAAAATTTAATGACTGCTTTATTTACTATACGAGAGCTTTTAGACAGTGTTGTTTACATATGACGTCATGTGTCACGTGCCAGTAAAGTGCGCGTTGGCTAAAAGATTTGTTTCAAATCATGGCCAACCAAGCTGTAGACGTGTCGTGGATGAGTGGAAACGTCGCCGGACTGTCGATCACAAGGTCCACGGTTCGAGTCCCGCCGCGGAACTAATGTCCTATGGCAGCCTAGCATAGCCGGGTAATGTTGGAGCGCCTTGAGGACCTTGCAAGGTCGATACGTGCGCTATATAAGAATCCAATATTATTATTATTATTTAACAACAGCTCCTTTTTAAACAACTTTCTTTAAACAACCCAGTTGGTGTAAACAACCCCCACTGAACAACAGCTCCTTTTTAAACAACTTTCTTTAAACAACCCAGTTGGTGTAAACAACCCCCACTGAACAACAGCTCCGTTTTAAACAACCGTCTTTAAACAACACCAGTTGTTTAAATTGTGATTTTAAACAAGTTGTTCAAAATGTTGATCAACTAAGTGTTTAAACTTTAAACAACTCGAGTTGCTTAACATTTTAAACAACTCTTAGATCAGGTCACCCGTTAATCAACAGTTGTTTAAACTTTTAAACAACATGTTCACTAAATTTTTAACTGTGTAGGTGGTGCTTTTCGTCGACCTCCCGTTCGATGCCCGGCCCGATATGCTGCTGAGTTTCCTCTCGACTACTTTCTTGACCTTGTCATTCATCACGCAGTAGAGCACGAATATGAACACTCCCTGCATGCCATTAAAACAGATAAAATAGAAGAAAAATTAAAAAAAATAGAGATGGAGATTGATTAAAGAGACATTTATCAGGGCTGCAATGTTTAGTGATTGAATTAAAAAAAAGAGTAATCTGTTCTAAAAAAAAAAAAATCAGCTTCAGTGACATTGATTAATCTTCAACACTGGTGGGCCAAGGGGACCAAGGCGACCGCCCCCGTCGAGGACCCCCCCCCCCCCCATATTAATAACCAAAGTTGAAATGTGTATAAGTTCTAACAAAACACCACCACCACCACCTTTGGTCAAATTCCCTTCGGGAGGGCCCTAAAACAAATTAGGAGTTGAAAATGGCGATTAAAAATATAGAACTACAAAAATAACAAGCACATAAATCAAGATGAAAGTTAATGGAACATTACGAAACCGTATTCGACAAGGAAAACTCAAATTTTCTCTTCATTACCAGAAGTAAACATTTTCTCGAAATCAACCTCCTTCATCCTGCATGGCGGGGAATATCCGGCTTGTGCCTTTCTCGAGTCACTGGGAAAAACTTAAGTGCACTTGTGTTTTCCCGCCCCTTCCCCAAATTCGACTAAAAGGGCACCTGCGTATTGGGATCATCTTTCATTTTATACCTTGACAGATATTTGGGGGGGGGGATTCTGCCTCCACCTTAACAAAAAAATACTAAATCACGGATCCGTCGTTAGGTATTAAAGGCATCGTTTAATAATGTTAAATCTGAGATGGAAGGCCCTACGTGTTATCAGTGTCTGTGATATGGTGTAATATTGAAGCCCTAAAAAATAAACTTTAACGTACCTGTAATGAATTGAGTACGATGAAGATGTAGGAGAAGAAGATGGTCTGAGAGTTGAAAGAAAGGATTCCAAACAGCCATGTACCACCAAGGAGGGGCAGGGTCAGAAGCATCGCTCGGAGAGCCAACCTATAACCAAAAGAAAAGGAGTAGGGTATACTGTCGATATCTATCATTTCAAATCATATATATCTAAACATGACATTCAAAACTTAGCGCCCCTCCGCGTCAACAAATATTAACTTTTTAAAAAAAATGTTCAAAAAATGAATTAAAGTCAAACCAGTCCGGTCTTTAACCTCTCTAGATAAAGGTCATCTCCCATTGGTTTTGCACATTACATTTCACAAGCCATCATTTTCTTTGTAATAGACGACGGAAAAGATTTGTTTCTATACAGGGAATGTATAAAACATATTGACAATGTTAGCTAATCATATTTAGGGTGCACGTATGAATGACAGTTTCCTTAAGGGAAAACACTACCAAAAAAATGCGTTAGATTTATCGCAACTTCAACAATTCATAACTTTCTTATTTTCAACCAAAATTTGCTCGAACTTCCACTGACATGTTTCTCTAATGTTTCTGTTACTATTCAAGCCAACTTAATATCAGGGTAGACGTCGATCTCCTTTAACAACGTGTAGCTTACCATATTCTATCTGAGTGTGCTTTCTTCATGTTGGTTTTAAGGCTCATGAAAACTCGAATGACTTGACAGAGGAGCGAGACGTTCATCTAGAAAAGACAAGAAATGAATACTCTGAAAGAATAAGCATTGACGGAAGAAAAAAAAACACCTTCCAAACCTATGCCCCATTTCACAAAACTTGTTATCAGTGACAAAGGACAGTTTTTCGTATAAGCTACTGAAATCCTTGCTTCTGATTGGTTATCAGTAGATTTGTCACTGATTTTTGTAATTTGTCATTGAAAAAAGGCTTTGTGAAACGGGTACTTGTTTTTTCTTGTCATGTTTGTCCATTTCATATTTCTTCCTTCAATTTTACCGATTGGGGCAGAGAGCATGATAATAGGCTACGCCATTAAACGACATTGATATCTCTTTCGGGGCAATCCATGCACAGGCATTGGTTGTTGTTCTTGTTCTTTCAAAACAAAATTATGTATGCTTACATTGTTGATGATTATTGTCATTTGATGTTGTGTTCCTCGAAATAAAACAAACAAATATATAAATAAAGAAATAAATGAATAAAATAAATAAACTAATGGCGTAAGGCTTCAATGTAATGAGATGACCAATCGAAAGCAACATATCAAGTCATAGCTATAGCAAGGCGCGGATCCTGGGGCAGCGGGCCTTGCCCCCCCCCCCTCCCCCAACGTCCAGCCCCCCCCCCCCCCCCCGCAAAAGAGAGAGAGAGAGTGAGAGAGAGAGAGAAGGAAAAGATGGTAAAGGGAAAGAGGAGAGAAAGGGAAAGAAAGAAGAGGAAGAAGAAAAGAAAAGGGGGAAGAAGGAGATCGGGGGCCGAAAGGGCCTCCCAAGATGTTGCCTACCCGCCCCCCGCCCCCTGCCCCCCCCCCCCCATCAAAAAAATTATAGCGAAGGAAGGAAAGGGAAAGAAAAAAGGAAAATAAAAGAGGAAGTTTTCCCACCAACAAGTTGTGGATCGGGGGGGGGGGCAAAAGGCCCTTGCCTCCCCCCCGGCTCCGCTAAAAAAAACAGAGAGAAGGGAGGAAAAGGGGAGAGCTAAAAAGGGAACAACAAAGAGGAAGAAGAAAAGAAAAGGGTGAAAAGAACTGGCGTACTGATATGGAGGGGGGGGGAGGGGGGCTTGGGGGAAATAATCGAAATTCAAAGGTGGTTTATTTCTAACTCCATAACGGTGATTTACAAATGATGCTAAAATGATATAATTTTTCGACTTTTTTCCTCACTTTTTATTTAATTATACTTTTTTTATGCGTTTGTTGGAAAATGACAGATTCCTACATTTACAGTCAGGCAAGATATATGCTTATTGAGATTCCTACATGTCAGGGTCCGTGGAACGGCTCGGATCGGAAGCCTCGAGCTCCCTCCCTATTCACCACTCAATAACTAGTTATCAGGTGGGCTGTATCTAATACAGACCACCTTATATTTTTGTTAAAATCGCCTTTATTTATTTATTTATTTATTTATCAGGTGGGCTGTATATCGTACAGACCACCTTATAATTTCGTTAGAATTGCCTTTATTATTTATTTATTTATCAGGTGGGCTGTATATCGTACTGACCACCTTATAATTTCGTTAGAATTGCCTTTAAATATTTTTCTTATTTCTAACCACTTTTTTGTGAACAAGATAACACAAAAATGGCTCGATCAAAATCCTTGAAATTTGGCACATATATGTAAAGACATATGAACAAAGCACAGAAATTTGTTCAACCTTGAACTTGACTGATGACGTCATCTAGGCGCCATTTTGTAAAATTTTACGAAAATCAACTCATGATCATATCATCATAACCAAAAGGTAATTCTCATTCATATTTATCATGATTAAGGTCAATATCCGTCCGGTTAATTTCAGCTCAAATAATGCGCGCGTGCGCGTACGTCCGCGCGTAAATGCGCGCGCAAAATTTTAAAATGCTCAAAATCGTCTCAAAATCATTTTGCATACGTTTTAGGCCATTCTAAGCATTTTATAAAAAAATCGCGCACAAGCGCGTGCGCGCGCGTTTTCGCGCTTAAAACTATTACACAACATAGAATCGCCATTTTTTTTCTTTAATAATATTCCACATATATTTACAAACAAATTGATACCATGTTTGTCTCTTTATGACTATTAATAACGGGATGATCGACCGTTTGACATAAATTTCCGTGCGCGCGAGCTCTTGTAATACATAGCATATATGGGCAAAAACAAAATCCATTGTAACTCTTTAGGATACAAGGTGATCCAATTTTTGTTTTCATATTTTGTTAGAGTATGAATCGGAGATATGATTTGACCCTCAATTAACTCATGACGTCATCATAATGGGCTCCGAACTCATAATTTCAATTTGGATATTATGACGTCAGCATATTTTGGAAAATCAATTGTATCTCTGTAAATATTGATCGATTTTCTTCATAAGTTTGATACGTTCTAGCTTGTCTACAAATGCAGTACCCACAATTTTACATTTTGACAAAGGCATCATGGCGTATATTTGCGACTAAAGGTGGCATGTCAATTTTTCACATGTTGCGTGTATTCTCTAAGGGACATGATTTTTTTCTCAAAACTGGATTCTACATTCCCGTCTTTTGCGAGCAATATCTCCGTCGTTTTATCTTCGTTTACGCTGAGCTTCGAGTATGTTGTAGCTGAGACAATTAGCTATCTCAAATGTGCACTTCATTTTGTCTCAAATTTTAGTTGAACCAGCCCACCTATACTTGTTCCAAACAAGTATTACAAATCTAGTTATTCTTTATTTTTCTTATTTCTAACCACTTTTTTGTGAGCAGGATAACTTTAAAATGGCTCAATCAAATGTCTCGAAATTAAGCACACATATGTATAGGCATTGGAACAAAACACAGACATTTTTTCAACTTTGACCTTGACTGATGATGTCATCTAGGCGCCATTTTGTAAAATTTTACGAAAATCAACTCATGATCATATCTTCATAACCAAAAGGTATTTCTCATTCATATTTATCACGATCAAGGTCAATATCCATCCGATCAATTTCAGGTCAAAGAACGCGCGCGTACGCGTACGTCCGCGCGTCAATGCGCGCGCAAAATTTTAAAGTGCTCAAAATCGTTTCAAAATCATTTCGCATACGTTTCAGACCATTCTAAGCATTTTATAAAATATCGCGCTTATGCGCATGCGCGCGCGTTTTCGCGCGTAAAACTATTACACAACAGAGAATCGCTATTTTTTCCTTTAATATTATTCCACATATTTTAAAAAACAAATTGATACCTTATTTGTCTCTTTATGACTATTAATAGCGGAATAAACTTCCGTGCGCGCGAGCTCTTGTAATAGATAGCATATATATTGGCAAAAACATGCCTATACAAAATCCATTGTAGCTCTTTAGGAAGCAAGGTGACCCCAATTTTCTTTCATATTTTAATAGAGTATGATTCGGAGATATTGTTTCATGTCTCATTTGACCCTCAATTAACTCATGACGTCATCATAATGGCCTCCAAACTCAAATTTTCAATTTGCATATTATGACGTCAGCATATTTACGGAAAATTGATGGTTTCTCTGTAGATATTAATCGATTTTCTTCCAAATTTTGATATGTTTTAGCTGAGACAATTTTCAACAAATGCAGTTACCATTATCATGCTTCATGTTGACAAAGGCATCATGGCTTATTTTTGCGATTAAAGGAGGCATGTCAATATTTCACATTTTGCGTGTATTCTCTATGGGACATGACTTTTTCTCAAAACTCGATTCTACATTCCCGTCTTTCGCGAGCAATATCTACGTCGTTTTAGCTTCATTTACGCTGAACTTCGAGTATGTTGTAGCTGAGACAAAACGCTATCTCAAATGTACCTTTTATTTTGTCTCAATTTTTTGTTGGATCAGCCCACCTATACTTGTTCCAAACAAGTATTACAAATCTAGTTTATTTTTCTTATTTCGAACCACTATTTTGTGAGCAAGATAACTTTTAAATGGTTCAATCAAATGCTTCAAAATTTGGCACACATATGTATAGGCATATAGAGAAATCAAAATAACGTTTTCAACCTTGACCTTGAAAATTGTGAGTTAATCGCATTTTAGACACCATATTATACTGTTTATAATTATGTTAGTATAGACGACTGTTAGTGCCAGATCGCCCGTCATTGCACGCATATCGTTGTGCCACGATTGCAGGTCTAGTTGTACATGTACTTGTGCTAACTGGTGTATTATTATAATCCTTTTCTTTGAGATAAATAAATTATTACAACAGCAGCAACAACAACATGTATATATATATAAATAGTTAACAACTAAATCATTAAATACCCATTAATACGAAGTTTTGTATTTTATTAAGTATGTGAACAATTGATATGTTCACATTTGTGTTTCTTAAAGGTGAAATTCAAAGAAAATCACAAATATGTCAACTAATGTATCACTAGAAACTGGTAAGCTAACAGATGGCCATCGTACAAGTTATAGGTCAACTACATATCGGGTGATTAATACAAATACAAATACAACCACCTCCATAGCCGCTGGGATATACGAGAGATTCGCCGGAAAAATAACGATGTTTTAATGACGTCACTATATAGACCAACACTGCCCAAGCAGACGACATCCCATAGAGAATGAACATAAATGCAAAGCTATTATTTCTCAAATTATAATGAGTTTAGTGTATATAAATGTAATGGCATGTTAAACCATTGAAAAGGAGATATGACCCGATTCTGATTACTAAAATCTTTTGCTTGTAAAAAAAAAGGATAGTGGTTAATTAACAATCAAAGAAACCAGACTTCGAAATTGAAAAGGCCCCGGAATGATATTAAGGACGGCATTTGTTCCCTCTTGAAACGCCGAACATACCCTGGTGTGTGCAGCTGAATATACAATGGCGTCTTATTTTGTTTACAAGCGACAGATTCCTTTATTTTTGTATCGCTGCATTTGTCATCAAAATAAAACCATGCACGGGGTTTAGAGTGAGGCAATAGATTATACATTTAGCCTGACGGTAATGAAGTAAGAGAAAGAACTCAAGAGAAGATGAAAACACAGGCACTGAAAATGTGTGAGATGTCATGGGGCATCGTCTGCTTGTGCAAGTCATGTCCATACTGTGATCTCACACATCTCAGCAGCGTTCGGAGAGCTCTTAAGGTGCTATGCCGGGGCTGTATTTAAGCGTTTTGTAATTTATAATAATCATTACTTCGAATGTTTCCAACCATTGAATTTTGATAACCTTGTCGAATCAAAGTTTCAACTTTGCAATAACGAAAATAAAGTTAGTTTTTAAAATCAATGAATATCTACTTCAAGAATATGGCATATTAAAGCTTACTTCTCAAATTATTCAACGAAGACCCTATTTCAACAAGTCCACGTTTCATTCTTGAGTAACAGAAAACACAAAAACCATTAAAATTAAAAGGAGTGTGGATAAAAAAGTTGCCAACTGTAGGCTATATATATATATATGAATGTATGTATGTATTTATATGTATACCCTACATGTTGTATTAACTGGATATCTATATACAACCCAACATGGTACATTAACCGCACATCATAAAACTGGTATATTGACCCTAACTCTAAATTTAAAAAAAGTTAAACTAATGACTAATGATTGAACCTTTTGTTTCTTATGAGGCCTGTAATTGTGCCCTGCCTGAAAATTTACATAAAGAGCAATACTTCTTTTGTACAATACAACAGGTCACGAAAATGTCCTGCTAATGGCCATGTCTACTTGAAAACACATTTTGTCAGTACAAATGTCCGTCTAATAATGCCGTAAGATGTACATATAACCCTACATGGTACATTAAGTGGACATCATACAAATCCTAACCCTAACCATAACCCTAATCCTACCCCTTCCCCTAACCCTAAAACCTAATACTAAACCTAAACCTAACCCTAACCCTAAACCTTACCCTTACCCTAACCCTGACCCTAACCCTCATGTCTACTTAATGACTCATTTTTTCACTCCCAATGTCCTTCCAATGATGCCTTTAGTAAAATTACATATATATATATAGAGAGAGATATCTAACAAAATTGGGCCTTCCATGAGAAATAAAACGTAAAAAACGTTAAGAGGACACCAAATTGTCCTCCTAATGATAATTTCTACTTAATGACTCATTTTTTCACTCAAAATGTCCCTCTAATGACACCTTTGGGGCCTCACAGTTACGAGGCCATTGCTTTGTCACTGAACCATGACTGTACGCAGCGGGGGCTAGGGTAGGGGGCAGTTTCCATAAATAAAAAAAACCATAGAAAATGCAATAAATTTTCAATAATTTATTGCATTTTACCTCGGTCCCCAACATAAAAAATATCCTGTGTGCCCATGCCTTGAGCCATAATGCATGGCGGTCCAGAGGATTTTTTTATGTTGGGGACCGGGGTAAAATGCAATAAATTAATAAAAATTTATTGCATTTTCTGTTTGTTTTTTAATTTATGGAAACTGCCCCCTACCCTAGCCCCCGCTGCGTACAGTCATGGTTCAGTGACAAAACAATGGCCTCGTAACTGTGAGGCCCCAGGATCAAAACCGTGTCGATGTGCTATAGTTGTGCCCTTTTGTGAAGCATTAATCCTCATTACTGTCATTTATGACTTAAGGGCATAGTTCCCCTAGTTGATAAGCATAGTAGCATACACATGCTTTAGCAGTCCCGCAAAACACACATTGGCAAATTATAATTCAATACAATCTGAGAATGTATACTATTATCTAGATCTATTATTTTTTAACTATTTTTAAAATAATTCCATAAATTAGGGTAAAACCAAAATATTCCACCTTTATGAGCGACAGTGAATATTTATATATCTTTGTGTGCGTGTGTGTGTGTGTGTATCGCAAACTCTGAATTGGGCCACGTTACTCAGTCCCTTTGTTCATTTGCACATATGCCCCGGTTTTGGCTGACTGGAAATATCTGTAACGTCGAGCTAGCCTTTTGTGTGACATGATTCAATGCCAGAAGGCAGAAGTCATGCATGGACACCTGCTTCGATTTCTAAAGCCGTATAGAAATGGTAAGCTAGCGCGGAGCGCTCCTCTCTCTACATTTTGTTCGAAGTCCAAACCTATCCTCGACACATGCAACAAGAGCGCAAGAAGTTATTGCACAGATAGGCTATCATATTTTACAAAATACTTTTTGTACGAGTTGATAGTTTGAGAGTATTAAGGCGAAGAGGCTACACATCGATCAGTTATGACGCGAATCACCACTTTTCAAGCTGCAGGAATTCTAGGTGAGACACAAAATATTCCGTTTCTATTTAAAAAAAAAATCATAATATAACCTAATGATTTACTACGATCATTTGTTTCGAATTTTTGTTTACCTCTTCTTATAAATACGCAGTAGTGTTTTGCACTGAGGTTATTTTCATATGCATGTATTTAATGTTCTTTTAATTTAAAATATCTTGGTCAGATGTTTTGTAAATGTCGCGTTGGAAAAGTTGATACGGCAGTGAACATGCAGAATTAATTGGCTTTATCTTCAAGATCTGATGGTCTTGGTGTACGAGGTGCTTTAACAAACAAAAAACGAGGTTTTGATCGGCAGCAACTCAAAAAGCTTCCTCAGTGAATTTTCGTAGTAAAAGCTGTAGCAGTACTTGGTGTGAATTTCACAAGAATTTATGCTACAACTACAAAGTAATGACTGTTTTTGCAAAAAGTACCCTTTTGCAAATGTTAAAAGAAAACGCGTTGCACAGCATCGATGTGTAATAAGTGTATATCTATCGCTTCTACTTTTCACGACCAATATTTCCATTGTAGTCATTTTAACTCTTATTTACTTTGTGAGTCATCACTTAGCATCACTTTAGATTGATAGTTCATTCGCAAAATGTCCAGAAAATGACCTTGAAATATATATTTCAAGTATACATGAAACAAAAATAAATAAATAAGTTTTCGATGCAAACAAAATTGCTCAATTTTTACTATTTTCAGGTTAGTTATATATCGATCATTAATAATAATGATAATATTAATAACAATAATAACAAATAATATCAATTTATATAGGGCAGCTACCATAAAAATATTCTCTAATGCGCTGTGATGAAAACGAAGCTCCTAACAGTGCTTCTTTTGCGACACACAATACAAAAAACTATTACTGCGACACGAGCAATATACTGTAGGAAACAACCGAATATTGATTTAAAAGGAAAGAGTAACTGTATTACTTGTTCAGCTATTCCTAAACACCAAACACTGGTTTGAGCGTTTGAAATACATTTAAGTTACCTCATGAAGGCTATAACATGTAAATTTGTTAAGATTGCTGTATTAGTTGCAGATGTGTTTTGGGGTATATTTCTATTAAAGTTAAGTTTATAAGTGAGACATTGATTATAAACCTTTTCTCCTTCGTATTATGTACTAAGCTCTACAAGACTACATTTTCATAATTCGAAAGATTTTTATCATAGTAGAATTAAAAAACAAACTTTGTTCACAGTGTGGTGATCATTTTAATGTGTGATGGGCGTTTCACAGTGTGGCAATTTCATACCATATAATGTGTCACACTGTGGAAGTCTACACAGTGACGATTTTCACAGTGTGGTAGGCGTTTCACAGTGTGTTGAGTGTTTTAAGTGTGGTGGGCATTTCACTGTGTGATGGGCGTTTCACAGTGTGGCAATTTCACACTGTTGTGGCTGTTTCACAGTGTGAAATGTTCACAATGTCGAATTGGGGCCTTCCCACACGGTGTTCGCGTCGTTTCACAATATGGTTCACAGTGTCGATCTACGGTTATCCACACCGTGAATCTGCGGTTATCCACATTGTGAACCACACTGTGAAACGACGCGAACACAATGTAGTAAACGCCCGAATTCAACATTGTGGAGCACACTGTGATTCACAATGTGAAACACAGTGTGATTCACAATGTGAATGTGTGTGTTCTTTCCAGCAAGGTGTATCCATTTCTTCCCAATTCTCTTTCTCTCTCTTCACTCCCACAGTGTTTATTTCATATCACCCTAATTTGTGTTCCAAAACAGATTAAAATTTCCAGAATGCCATTAAATAATATTGTAATTTCGTAAGATCTTGATTATTTTAATGTTCTAATTACTTTTCTTATTTTGTAATTGATAGTGGCAGCACTGATGTGCTTCTCAAAAGTATGTTATGTAGACAGCAAAACCACCACCGGACCTACAACAACCGCTGCAAGCAACATGACAACCACTGGACCTACCACAACCACCGCAAGCAACATGACAACCACCGCGAGCAACATGACAACCACCGCGAGCAACATGACAACCACCGCGAGCAACATGACTACCACTACGAGCAACATGACAACCACCGCGAGCAACATGACAACCACTGAACCTACCACTGCAGGTAAGCTCTGACCACGGTCAGCAACATGACTACCATGAGTGGAATGACAAGCACCCCCCCCCCCCCCCCGTCAGGTATTTGTTGACAAGCCAGTTGGTCGTCAGTTTCCATTTGCAGAAGGTCATAATTCGCTGACACCAGACTTGGTGGCAATAATAATATTTAGTTTTTATATAGCGCTTATCACAAATGTCTCTAAGCGCTTTACAAATAAACTATTACCCAGGTCATTGGATTAATCAGTGCTTGCCCGCACACACTGTGTGCACAATCTCCACTCCCTGGGGAGCATTCCAGCCAGGCGTTACTTGACGCTCAAAAACTGTTTGACCAACAATGAATGTCGCATCCTACCGGGTACACATTTAACACCTGGGCGGCAATACCATTAATGGGTGCACAAGTCTCTACACATCGAACCACAAAACTTTACCTGATATTCAAAGGAGCAATGAAGGAAATAAAACCGGGTTCAGTGCCAGCGCGTTATGGTGCTTTGACTAGTTTGCACATAAGGCCCATTATTTGCTGAAGATGTATTTAAACTTGCTCTATCTTTTCTGAATATATCATGGCGACTAGGAACCCTTTTAATACAGTTGTTTTGTTGTTGGGTAAACATATATGTTTTGATGTACTCTAGCCTCATGGTGAATCGATATTATAGACCCAAATAGTATGTCATGTGATATGAATATGATATCCATGCTATAACGCTGATAACAAAAGAGAAAAAGAAATTCATATTAACCAAAGAATTTGAAGAGAAGCAACCGAAACAAGAATAATTCTGGCAGGGTACTACTATGCCATGTATATAGTTTTTAACTGACCGTTGGGCCGTAGAGAGCCTGTTAAGAGCCCGTGAGGCGCCTTACGTGTCCCGTGTGGATTCCCGACGGTGCCCGGACGGGGCCCTCACGCTCTATTCTCAATGTAAAACGCAGCTTTGAATACAAAGGCGCGGGTGTCAGAGGACACATAGTTCAATGCGCCGCACGGTATTACACGGACACACTGCAAGTATTTAACTCTTATCCTGCCACAGGGCTAATCCCCGTTGTGCTAAGCCACAAATCCCCCAGTGCCAAGTTTGTTTCGAGAAAATCGGATTAACGCGATGGTATTATCAGTAGCGCGTGCGAAACAATAGGCACAGTACAATTGGCAAGAACAATAACTGCTATTACGAATGCTTGCAAACATGCAAGAAGCAGCGAAGCGATAGCTTGCTCGGGTGCACAAATCACTATAACGGTAGCGTGCATGCAAGCTTATGGCAGGATATGAGTTAAGTGTGGGAGGGGGGGGGCGATATAGGCAGTTCCTGTCCTACGCTGGATTCGCCAGTTACATTTTAATTATATTTTTGTAATATCAAGCATTAACAATATTCATTATCATAGTGAACAGGTCAGTTCGTAATTAACACACGGTTTAAATGACCCGACAGTTCTTTTAAACATGGAGAAGTCCCACTTTTTGTGCATTTTACAATGATCACCGCCAGTGTAATGGAGGTGCTTCATGAATATCTTTTGTTTGCCCTCTTAAAAAAGAAAATACTTTCACCTGTGTTCTATAGAATTTACCATCAGTGCATAAATGAAAAATGACTACGTAACTTTCACGAACACGTATCGAGGGTTTAACCATTTTTTTTTACAGATGACCCGTATTTTCCCATGAGCAGATTATATCTACGAAGTGGTTTATTATTGTAGCGTTTTCCATTTTGTTTTTATCTCAATATCTCACCAGCATATGTTTGTCGACCTGCACAACAAAGTGTCAGTGACACCGTGAAGCTCAGTCGTAATACCATAATCGGCCTCGGGGTCGGCATTCTGAGCTTGCTCATCTTAGTCATCGTAGTGGTGATTATGTGCTGTGGGTGTCGTTGTTGTAATTGTATAATGGGTTGTTCGAATTGTTGTCGTTAAACAAAAAAGCTACTGCAATTCAATATTGTAGTTCTGAGCAGTGGATGATCCGCAATAAACCTTTGGTTTTTGATCACCCCCTCTGCAGGTTCATCTGTTGTTTTAATGCTTTTATTATACAGATATTGACTGGCAGGGGGTGTAATATAACATTGTTTGGACCGCTGAAGGGAGTTATATTTTCTCAAGTGGTTATATTTTCTTGGTAGCCTTGGTTGGAATATATTTTTTTTGGGGGTTTGGTCCTTTTTGGGGGGCCTGAAATTTGTTTTCCCCTTTTTTTTTCTTCGAAGACTAACATAATTTTTAAGAAGAAAAAAAGTGCGAACAAAAAATTGACGAAAACCGTACTATTTTGAGATAATTCATGACAAAATAAAATCCTTAAAAAAAAAAAATTCTTATTAAAAAAAAATGTGTGTAATTGGTGACGTACATTCCTCAAGAGGGCGACATGCATTGATTACAAATATATTCATTTCACCAGCTGGTTAATATAACATTGAAAAATGACCGGCGAGGAAAATATAACAATTCACGTGACGAGCTCTGAACCAATCACATCTCGGGTATCTGTCTAAGCTATCTAATATAATTGATTGTACATTGTGTAATTATATTGTCTTGTTATGAATCTTCGGAAATAAATGAAATCGAAATTGAAAATTCTCCTTCCTATATGATCGGGCTTAGTCAGGGGTGTGCATGATGAAACACAGACCCTGCGTTAAGTCTACCATAATTCATCGTATATAAGAGAATCGTATAGCTGTACGATTAATAATGACCCTTTTCTAGTCTATAACGTTGTATGATCAAGAAACGTTGTATATACATGTAGTATGTATATACATGTATATATATATATATATATATATACAGGTATGAGTATACATGAGTAATTGTATACTTATTGTATTAGGGCGCGTTCATGCTTGATTTTGACGGCCAGAATCAGGCATCTGTTACGCGTTTAGTTTAAAACACGGTTGCGTCTTAGCTCACTTTTGTAGAATCACCGAAAAACGGCGATCACGATCGCCGATCGTAAACTCACAAAAAGATGCGTTTACAATTTGTAAACGCGTTTAAATGGGTCAACGCACTGACCTCTAGTGGGTCTACGTAGCATGCACAGTGAAGGTTTGCGAATCCAGCTGGAAGACCAATCAAGGCCACACACGGAGAATTGCCTGGGGAGCCAGAGAAGTAAGCATGAACACTACATCGTGGAACTGCGATCACGATGAGCGTTTACGATGAGCGTTTCAGATCGCTCATTCTGCCTTCAAAATTTAAGCATGAACGCAGCCTTAGTTAAAGTCTTATTTTGATCGTATTTGTACCCAGGTAATAGAGTAATCATGTACTTTTAAGAATGCTATCAGTTGCCTGATGATCGCTTGTAAGGCGTGAAACTCAGAGTAGCAATCATGTTTAATTAGTCTGCCTTATTCAATATATACATGTATATAGCGTAACGCATGTTTAAGCAACGTGTATAAGACAATCGTATAGCTGTACGATTAGTAATTAACTTTTTCTAGTTTTTAACGTCGTATGATTTATAAACGTAATATATATACAGTGCGACCCAGAAAAAATCGAAACCGAGAATTATCGATGTTTTATCGTCACTTAATCACAATTATAACTAATAAATAACACATATTTGTAAAGCATAGATCCTCTTCCTTCATTTGATGCAGCTCATATGATGCATATTTCACGCATGAGTGATTAAAATCAATATGAAGACAGGGAACCAAAAAGTCATTTGGTGGACGGTATCTGAATTTCAAAGAGAAAATAATTAAAATTGTCTGCCCTTTCATAATATCAGACACATCAAGCAAGAAAAATGAGCAAGGAATAACAAAATTCTGTTTGTAATGCTTGCGTTTCCATAATTTTATCAAACGAATTCGTTTTCAATGGCTGCCTGGAGTAACAACAAGCAGCATTGACAAAAGATTTAACTCCGTTTCGTTGACAATCAGCCATGCATGAAGTTTTTCGTTTAACCAATTTCCTTCTAACAGTTATATTTTCTAGTCACACCGACGACACCGACAACAGAACGAAGCAAAACATTACCCCCCCCCCCCGAATAACCGAGAATCGGTCGTTTTGGAGTCGGTCTTGTTGTGTGACCAGGCGCGTACGCATGGGGGGGGGGTTGAACCCCCCTTGACTTGTTTATGTGTATGTTTTGGACAACCCCCCCCCCCCCTTTGCATTTGTTTTAAATTTAAAAAAAATTATTATTAAACAAATTATGGTAATGGATGACCCAAAAAAGCTGGCCTTACCCCCCCCCCCCCCCCCCCCCAACGAATCTAAAAAAAATCAAATCTTGAGACAAAGATAACAAAAAAATGTCCTCTTACCACCCCCCCCCCCTGCTTATTTAGCGGATAGCTGTGTTGTGCGAAATTTTTAAGACCAAAACAAAAAATATCCTCTTACCCCCCCCCCCCCCCCCCCCCCCCGCTTATTCAGCGACTGGCTGAGTCCTAGCGAAATTTTCGGCGTGATTTTCAAATTACACACCTGTGTGTGACTGTAAACTAACTATTAGATGAGAAGTAGACATGTTTATACAATTTTTTTTCTTAGGTATTTTCTATTATACCTTTTTGTATTAAATGTTTGATTTTAATCACACACAGTATAATGGCAATATATTGTAACATGACTAGGAAACGATTTTCCTCCCATTCTGTGGCAATTATGAAACAAATTATTGTAGTGATATTTTAACCAGATGAAATATTTCGATTATGTATTATACTGTGATATGTTCTATTATGCCCGGATTTTTGTTATTGAGTGATAAATTGAGACATGCAGTCATGTTTAGTTATTTTGAATGTTAAATGACTGTCGAAGCCGATTAAAAATAGAAAAAAACTATATTGGCTGTTCAGTAAGTACTACATTTTTAAAAATAAACTATATAACATTGCAGCTGAGATTAGAGTACTGATTTTTAATTTATTTCATTTGTCATGGGCGGGCTTTATTATCATTTGGAATTGGAATTAGACTTGACTATTCAGTTGCTATCTCATTATAACGTCTCATTGATAGAGTCAAAAATAAATAAAGTTATTTGTGTGACACTTTTCAATTGATCTCTACAGGAGTTGCTCTAGATTTTTTTAATGTTATTTATTCATGTATTTATTCATCATTATTATTCCTTATTATTATTTATTGACTATTATTTTATTTTTAAATATATATTTTTTAAATGTTATTATTATTATTATTGTTATTTTTTTTTTGAGGGGGCTTTGGGGGTTCTATTATCATTTTCTACATGCGTCTCACGATATATTTTTCAGAGGGGGGGGGGGGGAGTGGTGAGCATCCCCTATACCTCTAGAACCGCTACTGCTAATCCGGCTATTTGCCTTTTGAAGAATCAGCTGCAGCCCACAAACCAGTATATTATGATGTACATTTAATGTATCAGCACTATTTCGTATCATGATATTAGGATTACGTCTAGTTACTGTTTTGAGACTGGATGATGTAAAAAATCGGTCCTCAGGTGTCCCATTCTCGAAGATATATCACAGAAGCCCACCCCCCCCCCCCCCCACTCAGACCGCATGCGTGTTGCCATTTAGGGGGGTCTCCAAGGCAGGAAAAGCATGCGAAAAGCCCGCGAAAGGGGGGTTCGGAAATGTTGGCAGTCCTCAGATAGGGGGTGCTTTCAAAAAAGGGTACGAGCATATGCGTACCCTAAATAACACTGAGTGGGGGGGGGGGGGGGGCCGGGCACAGAAGAAATGTCTCCAATTAATGGCATCCTTCTTCAAATGCCCTTGCATTTGAAACACTTATGAGAAGATAGATGATTTGCAACGAATACCCCTACCCCTCGCAAGAATGAACAGAATGCCCAATCCGACATTTTAAGCAGAAGATAAAGAAACGAAGCGCGCGAAAAATAATGGGCTGTGATTGGTTGCCGGAATATGGACGTTAGAAGAAATAGATTTTTTTTTTTTTTTTGTGGTTGGGGGGAGGGGGGGGGGGTGCAATGCATGAGATTTCCAGCAAGATTGTACTTCATCTCATTATTTTTACGATTAAAATGACGAATCAGAACGCTCAGAAGAAAAAAAATCGGAGCTGTATTGCGCAATAGCATATGACGTCACTACAGGAGATTTCTCGGTGAAAAGGAGGGTGATTTAGGCATTAAAATGTCTTTAAAAAGGCAAAGTATGATATTAATTAAGACAAAAAGACATTTATCGGAAAAAAATGATATGTACTTGATAATCCCAGTAAGTTTGTGGCAATTTCGTCATTCCTAATTATGAAATTATCAAATTGGGCATGCCCGCAATGACGTCAAATGCGTCATCAAACCACGTGACCGTATTACCTTTTAGGAAGGGCGTAGCCCAGCAAGCCTGAGATCTGTGAAAAAGGGATGGTTATTATCATTTTTTGGTTTTGTTTTTGTTGATTATCATTATTATTAATGATATTATTATTGTTATTATCATTATCTAGAGATTTTCTAAAAAATCAGAGGCTAAAATATCAATAAGTAAAGGTGTATTCATGTTGGTAAGAGTGCCCCTTTAAACCTCAAAATTGACGCACACGCGCATATTTATATGCAAAAATTGGCAAAATTGGTTAAAACGTGTTATATAAACGGAGGGTGGGACTTTTTTTTCTCGGAATTTGTCATTGAGTATCAACATATATCTCGATCAAAGCAGCAGATCACCTAATTCGTCTTCTTGAGGAATTATTTGTCGAGTTATTATTTATTATTATGAAGTATTTGGCGTCTTCTGTGCCTGGGAGGGGGGAATCGAACATAATCATTGTGACCCTCGGGTTGATCTACTCCCTGAAAAGGCGATTAGGGGTAGTGCAGGTGGACCAGTACACCGGGGTTTCCCCTACTCTTACAGAATAGTGCAGCGGGTTCTCACTTGTGGAAATCTGAAGACATGTTAAGAAAGAAAAATGACAGTTTGGTGAATTATGATGTAAATATTAACATTTATTTCTCACTTTAGATATTTACATATGACAAGACATTCAGGCTCAATAGCGACTTTTCTATCGTGAAAAGGGAGATTTAGGATTTGAGCAATAGCTCTTAAAGCAAGCGTAGGTTTAATTACAATGATTTTGATTATGGAGATTAAATTTGATGTTTTATAAATGACATTTAAAGGTACTATGTCCCTTTTGCAGCTAACCTCAAATGATGTAGAACTTTGCAGGAATTATGAATATTTCATGTATGTCCTATCTGTGAAATTTAAACGTTTGCAGTGTCCTCATATTCAAATTATGCAAGGAAACCTGTTTACTTGCTAGACTTCACTGTCAGACACTATTGAGTGACTGACTGGATTTTTTTCTTCTTTGGTAATAACATACATGAAAAGAGTTGTAAAAGGTACATGAGCATTTGTCTACATCAATAACCCACTTCTTGTGATGGCCAAGAATAAACTAATTGAATCTTTGCGCAGCATAGAACGTATGACCATTCGGTACAATTGTCTGAAAATCAAGACTATTACTTTTGGGCTCTATAGCCCTAAAGTCGATTTGACAACTAATAGTCGTTATTTTCCCACTTGAAGACATTTTCAAGCCCCACCTTTTTTAGGGAAGTTCTAAATTAGTATTATCTTTCAAATGCAGTTGGAATTTAGCTTTTTCATTTTTTTGGCCTGCAAATGGGACATAGTACCTTTAAATGTGACATAGGTAGAATTTCGATGAACAAGACAAACAATTGAGAAAGTTTTGATACTTCAACCAAGTTTTGTTTTTGTAATTTCCTCTCGTTTCGTTCGAGGTGTTAATATACATGTATTGCAACCAGTTTCAAAAATGCATCTAAAGAGGCATATGATATAATTTGAAACGTAGTTCTTTCTTCACAATCATTCGAAAAATGACATCACAAATCACATAATTTTCTATTATACAGGCGGCTCAGTTAACACATTTTTATGACACAGGAAAGAGAACATTATTTGAACACATTTAGAAAGCTCTCTATAATACACAGACAATATTTCATGATTTAACAAAATAATGTCAACATTCAGAACATTGCTGATGGCACCATTGTAAGCATTTTTGCAAAGCATTTATTTACATAGAATTTGCTATACAAACATATAAGCTGTATAATGATTGACATCTACACGGTCTTTCTGTTATACATATACTAGTACTGAGGATCTCCATACGTTTCTACAGTTTTCTTTCAGGTTTAATAATTTTCAGCGGAATTACAAATCCGAGATTTATGTCCTCAAACAGTGGCAGATCCAGGTTTCTCAGCCGAATAGGGCGGAAGAGAGCTACAAGTCTGAATGACAATTCTTAAGGGGAACATCACCCCCCCCCCCCCCTCCCAGCAGCCACTATTCCTAATAGGCCAACATACAATGCAGCGTTTCACATAGGAACATGACAATTCGAACTGAGTACATATTAATGTTCAAGAAAATGCTGATAAACCAGAAAATACACTCAAAAAAGCTAAAGGGGCACAATTAAGTTAAGGGTGTCATAAACCCTAAGAAAATGGAAACTACTACCTGACGGCCACAAGCTGATAAGGCATTTTACACGCATGGAGAGAAATATTTATAGGATAAGCATTGAGGTCCAGTGGATACGTGGCTGGACTGTGGAAAACATGGTTCGCGTGCCGATTCGAGTCCCGGCGCGGCCAATGTCCTTAATTGGCAAGACATTAATCTGCATTTGCCACTCTCCACCCAGATGTTCAATGAATTCCTGGAATAATGACAACGCTAATGTTGTTGGATTGGCCTGTATGGGTTTTTTAAATGGCGCCTTGGCCGAAATACTTCCATGGGAGCGGAGAGTGTGTACACTATCAATGTGCAGATTAGCGATTGAATCCGATGCCCGGAATAACAATAAGTACAATGTAAAGCGCTTAGAAATGAAGTATTAAGCGCGCGCAATGTCACTTTCATTATTATAAGGATATATGCGACCAAAAGACCCTACGTTTAAATAATAAAACTTCCAAATGCTGAAAGCAGAACTGAAAATTTAATCTTAGAGTTAAGTTAATAATTGTTTTGACGTTTAGATAATCTGTATAAACTGTTTAGCAATAATCATGAAAATCGACGACACAATGTCATCATCCTATCTATATTCAATTATCTGGATTTAGAATGGACCTAACAAGACTAAACTATAATAAAAAATTACAATAACATAATATCGATGACAAAAATATGACTGCATTTCTATCATAAATCCCATAATGCAATAATAACAAGAACATTTTTAATAATGTAACTCAATGAAATAATGAAATGTGAGATGAAAATAAATCTATACATTGAATAAATACAATGATATCAGTCGTACATAAAATTGATTGCCATTTATTTTATATACAAATGTGAAATTGTCAACGACAAGGTGTATGATTTAATAATGGCCCATTAGACAAGCAGACTTCCTTCAAACTTTATCGCAGCTAACTTTCATTCACGAAAGCAATAAACAATAAATATTCGCATGTTGCAATCGAACGTGACTTGAATCTGAGTCAGCGGGTTTCCGTTTCGTGAATGACGTTGATTGATTGTGACGTCATTGCTCGATCTAGGTGGTGCTTTTCGTCGACCTCCCGTTCGATGCCCTGCCCGATATGCTGCTGAGTTTCCTCTCGACTACTTTCTTGACCTCGTCATTCATCACGCAGTAGAGCACGAATATGAACACTCCCTGCATGCCATTGAAACAGATAGAATAGAATAAAAAGATAAAAAATAGAGATGGAGATTGATGATTAAAAGTGGCAATTAGTTAGCCTGTAATGTTTACTGATTGAGTTTAAAAAAACAGAGTAACCTGTTCTAAAAAACTGTTCAGCTTCAGAAACATTTATTCATCTTCAAGACAGGCAGATCAGGGGGATAGGGGGACTGCCCCCATCGAAAAAACAACAACATATCAATATTGAGTCAAAGTTGTATAAACTATAACAACCGCCCCCAACACCTTTTGGCTAGATTCCCTTAGGGACGCCCTTCAACAATTTAGAAGTTAGAAATGGCGATTGAATATTATGCAACTATAAAAATATCAAGCACATAAAGCACGACGAAAGTAAATGGATCATTACTAGACCGTATTCAAGAAGAACAATTCCAGTGTTTCTCTTCTTTACTAGAAGTAAACCGAAATCAACCTTCTTCATCCTGGCGGGGAATATCCGGCTTGTGCCTTTCTCGAGTCACTGGGACAAACTTAAGTGCACTTGTGTTTTCCCGCCCCTTCCCGAAATTCGACTAAAAGGGCACCTGCATATTGGGATCATCTTTCATTTTGCACCTTGACATATTTTTTTTTATCGGGGATTCTGCCTCCACCTTAACAAAAAAATACTAGATCACGGATCCGTCGTTAGGTATTAAAGGCATCGTTTATCAATATTAAATTTGAGATGGAAGGCCCTACGTGTTATCAGCGTAAGTGATATGGAGTAATATTGAAGCCCTAAAAATAAACTTTAACCTACCTGTAACGAATTGAGTACGATGAAGATGTAGGAGAAGAAGATGGTCTGAGAGTTGAAAGAAAGGATTCCAAACAGCCACGTACCGCCAAGGAGGGGCAGGGTCAAAAGCATCGCTCGAAGAGCCAACCTATAACCAAAATTAAAGTAGGTAGGGTATTCTGTCGATATCTATCATTTTGAATCATATAAATCTGTAAATGATATGTAAAGGCATACGCCCCGTCGCTTCAACAACAAAAAATTGTAAACAAAAAAGAAAGAAAAAATGAATTCCAGTCAAACCTGTCTTTATAGAGACAACCTTTCCAGATAAAGGTCGTGTCCAATTTGTTTTTGATTTCATAAACCATCACTTTCTTCGTAATTGATGACGGAATGGATTTTGTCTATACAGGGAATGTATAGAACATATTGACAATAATCATCAATCATATTTAGGATGCATGTATGAGTAAAAAAAAATCTTGAGGGAAAATACCACCATACAAAATAGTGTTAGAATGGTCGCAACTTCAACAATTCATAACTTTCTTATTTAAATCCATTGACCTATTTCTCTCATATTTCTGTTTCTATTATTGAATATCAGGGTAGACGTCCCCTTTTATAAAAACGTGTAGCTTACCATATTCTATCTGAGTGTGCTTTCTTCATGTTGGTTTTAAGACTCAAGAAAACTCGAATCACTTGACAGAGGAGCGTGACGTTCATCTAGAAAAGACAAGAAATTAAAACTCTGAATAAATAAGCATTGCCGTAAAAGAAAAACACTTTCCTAACCTGGTCAATAGGGATGGGGAGATTTTTCCCCTCCACTTGTTCTTTCCCTGTTCTCTATTTTATATTTCTTCCTTCAATTTTACCGATTGGAGCAGAGGGAAAACGCCATTACGATCGTGACTCCCCCCCCCCCCCCTCTCCTGATATAGCTACGCCATTGTAATACAATTAGACAGAAATTGATATTTTTTCGGGGCAATCCACAGGCATTGGTTGGTGTTCTTGTTCTTTCAAAAAATAATATGTATGTTTCATATATAAATAAATAAATAAATTCATAAATAGAATAAATTAAATAATGGCGTAAGACCTCATGGTAATGAGATTACCAATCGAAAGCAACACATCAAATCATAGCTTTAGGAACATGTTGTAGATGATCGATGAAGTTTTGTTTTAAGAAGGGGTAAAGATGTATTTTTAAATATAATTTACCATCACTATGCCTATGGCGGGTCCAACGAACGCCCAGATCCCTCCGTTCTCGTTCGATAACCAGCATCTGTTGATAAATGAAAAAGAGAAATATAATAAAGTCTGCATTGTTGAGGTTTAGGTTGAGTTACGTGAGTATGGCATTCATTTCCTACTTTCTATAGAAAGGTTGCATTTAAGTGACAGTCATAATCACGTCTTAAACTTAAAAGTAAGGCTAATTGTATGCTATTAATTGTGTATTATTAATTACTGTGCATCATTATATATCAACTCTTCATTTTTCAGAGGGGGTTGGAGTGGGGCCGAAACTTAAAAAATGTAATAAACTTACATGTATATAAATTTACATTTTATTTCTATACATTTCTATCATATACATCTTTTTTTGTCTCTGAAGTCTGCATTAATAATGGGGAAGGGGGATGTTTGGTGTACTTTTATGTCGGTTTCGTCATTGGACATTATTAGGTTACATTTCTCATTTGGCATTTTGGTTTAGGTTTTTGCAAGTCCGGTACTACATTGTCAAGTTTAGAGTTTGTTTTAAATCTAGGATCTTTTATCTTTTGTTAGAAAGTGTATTTCTTTCTCTATGTCAGTACGTATTGTTTAGGAAGGAAGTGCTCCTAACCCCTCCTACCGATGCAGTTTATTTATGAACTATGCCACAAGTTAACAGGACTTACAGAGTAGGCAACTTTTTAGTTAATATTAATAAATATCCCAGAGCTTACATCTTTTCGATGCTGTATGCCTTGAAGGATACTCCGGCTGTGATCCCAACGATGACAGCTGGTCCTCCTAAAACGAATAAAGATGGGTCGTTAGAAAAGAACAGAAAATCAAAGAAGATGACAAGGCAAAGGAAAATGGAGAGCACGAGATACAGAAGAGACAAATATAGAGCGACAGAAAGAAATGGAGAAAATGGAAAGAAACAGGGATAGGGATAGGGAATTGGAGAGAAAAAGAGAGAGGTGGGAAAGGCGGGGAGGGAGGGAAAAGGTGCGGAGGAAGAGTAATATATAGAGAAACATATTATACAGAGAGAAAGAGACATAAAGAGAGAGAGAGAGAGAGAGAGGAGAAGAATAGTGATAAAGCTAAAGATAATAAATACTTCAATCTAGTTAAGACTCTTTAATGAGTTGTTTAAAGTTGTACATTTCGCGAAATAAAAATCACATTTGTAATGAGCACAACCCTGATGGACCTAATCCTCACTAATATTATTCAAAATAAGAAAAAAAATATATATGGTAGAAGAAATAATGCTGTTCACGCTTTAATTTAACAGAAAACCATATCAAGAAGAAGTATGAAATCCTAAAAGGGCATACCAGAGTCAAATGCAGTAGTATTACTGTAAGAATTTGCATGGCGACTTATATTTGAATAATACGAATAAAAAGAAAATGCAACGTTTCGTTGGGCATGTTGGACGTAAACACATTTGGATAGAATCTCATAGAATCCTAGACATTTTTAGCATACCCCAGCCGATAGCGATGTAGGTAGGCATCGCGAGGAATCTGTTCCTGGTAGACGTTGTCTTGGAGATGAGATAGATGCCTTCCACCAACATCCAGAAGAACGTCGCCAGGAGGAAGAAGTGGAGGCAGATACCGATCGTCTTGCATACTTGCTGTGATGTCAAGTAATATATAGAGGAAAAAAACTAATGATGGAGAGATAACATAAAATTCATGTAAATATTGTGCCGTCAGTGGCGGTCAGATGTCATGGTATGGTGGTACATTCACTTGACTCTCCATTGCAGGGGTAAAGGTTCGAATCTTAACCAGGGGGGTGTTTCACAAAGATCCTAAGTTGAACTTATCTTTAAGTTGGACTTAAAATTTATGGGAAGCCATTAGCATCCTTGAAAACATTTTTTATTTTTTTTTAGAAGGCATAAAATGTTGATTCAAATCATTTATATTTTCTATTATCATGGGAGATTTCATGTTCTTGATGTGGAATTGATGAAAAGTCTAAAATACTCCAATTTTTGCTTTTGCATATATTTCATTTTAAGGCCCCAATGGCTGTCCATACTTTTTAAGTCCAACTTAGTGTTAAGTTCTACTTAGGATCTTTGTGAAACACTCCCCAGGCAATATAGGGCTGACTAAGGTCGATCCGTGAAAAGACATCAAAATAAACAGTAATTTGGTACAGATGTAAACGGGTACATGGCAAATGCTGGGGTAATAGCTATTACAGGCCATACAGGAAGAACAGCAATTATGCCTATGTGGTTTCCCTAGGTATACACAATAATTATATTCTTTTATATATAACAAAAATACAAATTAGAGGGTGGGGTGGAGGACGAACAGAGCCTTGGAAGGGTGGTGCACGGACAAACAAAAGCTTAACTTTAGAGTCTTAACTAAATAGTCGACAGTCCACGAGATCGAACATCCTGGAAGACCGATCAAGCCCGCGAGACTGACAATGACTGCCTGGCGGATTAACCCTCTTAAAATTTGCCAGAATGTCCGCGAGACTGACGTGCTGGGCGCGGTCGATCTCTCGGACTGCATGAAGCCACTAAAAATAATGCCAGCAACTGACAACTATAATTATCAAACTCGTCCTTACCCATATCTCGACCCTGTCTATGCCGAACAGGAATACAGCTTGTGATACCAACAGTGATGAGGCCAGGTTCATATGGATGACGTTCCGATCAGACCGATACAACCTGCATGAATGATGATTACATTAAAGTGAGGGGCATTTTAGATGTAATATTTATCTTAAAAAAGATCACGAAAACGTTAACACTAATATTAAGTCAAACGTAAAAGATTAAATATTTAAGTTATTCTTTAATTTTCTTAACCCTTTCACCTGGCTATCCAGTGCTGATTTGTCAAAAGACCCCCCAAAATAACAATGAATAAAACAAAGAAAATAATGTAAAATACACTTTGGCAGTTGAGATTAAGCTTTTATTTTTTAGTAACTTTCCTTTATATTTATTTTAATTTTGAATGAAAACGTTTAGCCCATAGTTTGAACTTTATCCTGTTATCCAATGCGTTTATATTTTATGAATCTGTTTGCCTGTACTTTGATATCTCCTCCTCATTTATCCCCCCTCTCTCTCTCTCTCTCTCTCTTTCTCTCTCCCTCCCTCCCTTCCTCCGACCTCCTTCCCTCCTCCATCCCTCCTTCCCTCCTTCCTTCCTTCCCTTTATTCACTCCTTCCTCCCTCCTCTCACTTTCTACCTAACTTTCTATCATCCTCGTATTTTTCTCTTCTCATACTTAATCCAAGATGATACTATCCCCATCACTCTTTAATTAAAAAAAAACCAATGTATTTCATAGCTTACTTTTGGATGGTGAAGACGATGAGCATTGTAGCAAGGCATGTCATGGACAGACCACAACCAACGTAGGTCATATAATTTTGAATCTTGCGGACATGAGATGACTGGGGTGCCTGTAGGGATGGGGATGTGTTAAACAATAAGCACATAATGATATCCGAGCATGAGATGAAATACCTAGTCCAATTACTAATTTTTTAAAGTAATTCGTACATACATCATGATAACAATAATCATGAAATCACTGCACAATGATTACGAAAGGTAAAAACAGATGAAAAATGATAAACAAAACGGAAATAGTGGGTACCTATAGCCCAATTATTACTTTTTCATTACAAATTGAAGTCTTGTTTGAACTAAACATAATTATTGGGGCATAACAAGTAAGCTTTTACCAACCCTAAAATTGAGTAGGCAAGCTTCCATCTACTATTGCCAAGTATTTATTCACACAGTTAACTGCTGTCTTCTGCCTTAACCGCACTATGGCATTATTTTATGTATGCTAGTACTACTACGAATAGTTGGTTTTTGAATAGCGCTGATATTAGACTTAGACTCTTTTAAAACAAAGATTGCTCTTGACAACCTGAAGGCTTCCCTGAGGCTTTCCCGACATAACAACAAAAGTTCATTAATTGATAGCAGGATAGTGGAATATGTCATCGTCACTAGGTCCCCATGAGAGAAACATCCATCAATTTGAATATATTAGTAAACTGGCCTATACTGGCTTCAACTCATCGTAATGAGATCTGCATAAATTATGAATGACGAAAATAAAAATCACCTTTCCATTCATATGCAGATTATACAAGCGATCACATAATGAGGAGTAGATGCAAAATGCGCTTTCCAACAATAATATGGTTTAGTAACTGTAAGTCCTATTCTCTCCGTTATGAACAATTTCTCAAAGCAAATGCACTTTATATTTTTACACTCATGACATCAGTGTTTCAATTTCACGTATAAAATTATTGTTTCGACAAAACGTGAACGGAAACAATCAAAATGTGGCAAAAAGAACCTCGATGCAATACAAAGAAAGAGAGAATTACAGTATAAAGAATGGAGAAAAGTACTGAAGCGAACTAAGGTGACTGAATGAGGGGGTATTTTGTAAAGACTTACCCCTCCTTTCGAAACCTGCATGAGGACCGCGAAGCTAGTCAGATGGGTACATTGACAGGTTGTGTGGGTGCGGTTAACCTTGGTGACACACCCCTCCGTTGACCACGCCCCTTTACCTTTAACCCTGGATGTGGAACCAAATCAAGATACTCTACATGACTTTACGAAATAAATGGTCTTTTAAAAAGAAAGAAAACAACGAAATGACACAGAAATCAAAAGATTATATTAAATCCCCTTGACTTGTAATGAATATAGAATGTTTGTGGCGCAGATAATCTTAAGTTGAAGAGCGCTATCTAAATTTCAACAACTCAACAAAAACTAGTAATGGCAATGCTTTTGTTGTTATATTGATGCATCATCATGATGAGGGAGGGGGTTGCTAGGCCCCCAAAGTGCCCCCCCCCCCTCCTAAAAGAAAAAAACACCTGGTATATTACCCGCTAACGCGAACAAGTCAGATAAAAACGACAAAACATGAATTCTACCCTCGATGGTTCAAATTTACCTGTTTATCTTGTTATTGTTGTTGATGTTGTTTGTGTGTTTTTATTGTTGTTTTTATATTTTTCTCTCCCCAATGTGCATTATCTTTGTTTGTAACACACATCCCCTTATTGTATGCAAATTCGTTGCGTTCATCTGTTTAAGTAAACAAGAAGCAGATACTAGTTGACCTTTACATGATTAATTGTCAGAGGAACAGACAGCGTGCGATTTTCTTAACGACTTTATAATCAACTTATTTACTCACACTTCATCTGGTTGCCAATAGCAACAGGAACGACCAGAATCCTCCGTATCACTTGCACTCTGAAAAGATATTAAGGAGTAGTGCGATTTGATGAAGAAGAATTTAGGTAGAGCTGGCCTGTGCCCCGTCTTATAAGCAGTTGCGATTGCTCGCAATGTGTTTGCGATTAATTGACATCAATCACATCTATGTACATAAGAGATAGGAGGCTGCAAACTTGCGATTGATTAGATCGACTTGCGATTGAATTGAATCAATCCAAACTAAAACGGGGCCCTTGAATATAATTTGATGTACATGTAGTAGGCCTACTATCAGGAAAAGAATTATTATACGTAAATGTTAAAAAAAGTGAAGGTAAAGAAGAAATTGGAAAAAAGTAAAAATCAAATAATGTAAGAATTTATGAGAAGGGGGATGAAGAAGAAGGAGGAGAAGGAGAAGAAGAAGAAGAAAACGAAAAAGGGGAGGAAGAAGAAGACGAAGAAAATGAGTAGAAGAAAAAGAAGAAGAGAAAAACGAGATGGTGATGATGATGATAATGCTGAACAATTTAACAACGGAGAAGAAGATCGATGGAGGAGAAATTGAAAGAAAAAAAAAACGATTTATTAAGGAGAAAGAGGGAGAAATATTAAGACGGGGAAACAAATACAGACGATGTAAAAGGGAGAGAGAGACAGAGAGAGAGAGAGAGAGAGAGAGAGAGAGAGAGAGACATGAGAGACAGAAATAGGAGGAGGGGAGGGAAGAGTGCAGGCATATATTATAATAACGAAGCGGTGCTGAGAAGAGTCTATTCGAACTGAAGATACAGTATGAAAATGCATTTCCTTAGAATACCTATTCACAAATTTACGGTGATCGATTGCAATTATAAATTTGGGTCAATTTGCCCACCGACCCGAAACGTTTCCGGTCAACTCTCGGCTCGTCCCAGAAACGATTTGCTCGAGTTGGCAATTAGCACTTAGGGATAATTCCGCTGGATGGGTTTTAATAATAATAATAATAATACATGAGATTTATATAGCGCCATTATCCATTTTGATTAAATGCTCAAGGCGCTTCAAAATATAAGGGAACACATTACATCATGACAAAGAATCGTGTACATTTACATAAGAAAGAAAATGCAAAAATGAAAGAATGAAAGAATGAATGTCTGTCTTCAAAACGCAAAATTAAACAAATGGGATTTAAGGTTGCTCTTAAAAGATGTTGAAGAGTCGGAGTTCTTCAGCTCCTGTGGAAGTGAATTCCACAGGGCTGGTCCGGCATGAGCAAAAGCTCGTTCCCCCCAAGATTTCTTTGAAAGCGGTATGTGTAGAAGACCAGAGTTGGAAGATCGGAGGGTACGTGTGGGTTGGTAGAGGTGAACTAAAGACTGGTTGTATTCAGGAGCTGTTCTGTTCATGATTTGATGAACTAAAAGGAGGATTTTGAAAATTATACGTTCTTTTACAGGCAACCAATGGAGATTTTGTAAGATAGGTGTAATGTGACTATGTTTGCTTGACAGAGAAATGATGCGTGCAGCTGCGTTTTGTAGTTTTTGTAACTGTGCAATTTGAGAATTTGGTAAATTATAGAGTAAACTGTTGCTGAAATCCAAACGTGAAGAAATAAGTGAGTGAACAAGTTTCTCTGTTGCCGAACGAGTCAAATATTTCCGTATGAAGCCAATATTGCGCAATTGATAGCGAACTGATCTGGAAATGCTTGTGATTTGTTTAGACATAGACATTTGAGAATCAAGAATGACGCCAAGATCGCGACATGAATTTGATAAGGGAATGGTGTTACCGGAAATAGAAATTGAGTCTATATTTAATTTATTCAACTGAGATTTTGAGCCGAAAAGAATGAATTCGCATTTACTATGATTTAATAGCAGAGAATGTGACTTCATCCAGGCGTCAATATCAGCGATGCAATTTTCCAAATTTTGCAAGGTTTGGGAAGCTCGAATTTGATGCGGCGGAAAAGAAACAAAAACTTGTATGTCATCTGCATATAAATGATAACGAACAGAATGACGTTGAAAAACATTTCTGAGACCGGTTAAATATATTGAAAATAAGGTGGGCCCGCCCACAGAGCCTTGGGGTACTCCACAGCCAAGTGGCCTGGGGGAGGATGTGAAACCATTTAAAAGGACAGACTGTGAATGGCATGAAAGATAGGATTCAAACCATTCAAGAGCCTGGTCCTGGATACCCAGACTTGTTAGAGTATTTACAAGTATTTTGTGGTCTACGGTGTCGAAGGCTGAGGACAGATCTAAAAGGACCATGGCAGTGACGGATCCGGAGTCCATTTCTCGTAAGATTGAGCTTGAAACATTGATGAGAAGGGTCTCAACACTATGATGAACTAAGTGTAGAGCACGAGGGCAATCACTGAATAATAGAGTCTTGTAATTATACAAAGATGGGGAGGGGGAGGTTAGCTGACCCAACACACCCCTGTATTAATGGTCGGTCGATCAATAAAATATAATAATATAATAATAACGTTTTATTTACCCAGGGTAGCCTCTTCAGTTATGAAACTGCTCTTCCAGCGGGCCCTGCATAACATGATATGTTATTACTACCCTTCTCCAATCTAATATGCTGAGCGCCTAGCTAGAAGGCAGAAGGTCCCATATAAGTCTTTGGGTATGACTCGGCCGGGGTTCGAACCCATGACCTCCCGTTCATGAGGCGGGCGCTCTAACCACTGAGCCACCATTGGTACCAGAGCTATCTTCATTATTTAAAGTAAGTGCGTCCTGTTTTATAAACTGAAACAACAGGAGCTAGTTGTCAAGGGCTATAACATGATTTTTTTTTGTAATACCATTAAATAATAACAAGTACTAACAAAAATTGATGCTTATGTCATTTTTCATGAGGCAGTCGCGATAACGGTGGGGCAATACATCTTAAAGGCATTCAACCCCTTTCATTGTTAGCTTTCACAAATGGTATTCCCATCGGGTACCATTAAACATTAAAAAAAGATAAAAATAGCTAATTACCTGTTTATTGTTGAAGATAATCTCGAATGGTTGATCGGCTGCCAGTTGGAGATCCGAACCGTCCCATTTCTTGACCGACACGGTGGCGACCAAGGAGACGATCTCGTGTGTGACCACGGTCCGATTCTCGCCACCCGTTGTCGTCTCTTCGCCATCATCGACCATGTTGGTCGACATCACGTCCTCGACAGAGCTCAGAACAGAAATAGCAGCCGTAGCTGAAGAAATGAAGGAGAAATTGAAAACAAGCTTTAAGAGGGTCTTTTTTAGTAAATTTCAACAGGTCAATTGTAAATAATGAGGAATATTTAAATCAAAACATTTTCGGTAGCAAGATTATCATCGCCCCAAACCCGATTGAAATGTTCTCTATTGCTCCCCTTCTCTCTCTTTCTGTCTCTCTCTTTCTCTTTCTCTCTCTTCAGTTCAGTTCAGTTCATGTTTTATTTCTTATTTTCAACACAACAGTAATTTGTGAAGATATGATGACAATTCCATTTTGAAAAAAGGGGGATGGGCAAAAGTGCCCCCCCAATCATCCCATTTCTAATTCGACCATATCTAGGGGTATATCCTCTATGCCATGACATATATCTTTCCCAAGATCACAACGACCCCGACACATCGCCAACCGACTCCAACCCGACCAATTCTCTGACAATCGTCGTTCTGTTCATTACAAGAATAACATCTTAATCATAATGCTAAACCAACTCTACAACACCAAACCGAACGGCCCTTTGCGCTTCAGGGTATTGTGAATATTTTGTTACGTCAGTTGTCGGTCTGGTGTCGGTCTGGTGTCAGTCTCGCGTCGGTCTCGTTGGGGGTATAACCCGCCATCTTACCTCCATCACCCATTGCCGCTGACGGTATCTTGACCACGTACGAATCGTTGTTGATCCCGGCTTCGAGTCTCGGCCCAGGCGACGTCGATGAGCACGTCGCACAGATCGGAATCACCTTCAGGACTGAGGGAAGGAATGACCACAAAATAACAACACAATGTCATGTTACAAATAAAGGAAGATTTCAGGATGAATTCAGGCTCATCATTTATTTTTAAGTTGTATATTCCTCATGCTTGAGTCGTCATCTGTATTCGTATTTTCCTTAATTTTAATCGTGAGCTTTGAAAGCATTTAAGGCTCCTAGTAGATTGTCCTTTATTCAAAGAGACCTTCGAACCTAAGCCTGTTTTCAAGATCATTCACCACGTTGCTACTTCCCTGATACCTATCATAATGATGATAATAACATTAAAAACGATGCTTATAAAGCGCTAACCACCGACGTCTCTAAGCGCTAAAAAATTGAGCAGCATGCCCCATGTGAGGATCGAACTCACGACCTTCAGATTATGAGACTGACGCGCTGCCTACTGCGCTAACGAGGCTGCTATGATGGGCATGTGTTTTTAAAAGTTGTACTTCCATTCACTTCATTTTGTTTCTGTAAAGGTCAAAGTTACTGGGACAGAACCATCAAGCTCCCCCTCTAGTACTAAATAGTTTGATTAATGAAGCTGCCAAATGGCTCATTGGTTGCTCTCTCGACCATGTCCAGATGTTTCTCTAGAGGATGGACCGAGCCAGACACACTTCCAAGATTCACACCTTGTCATATCTTCAAGCTTCAGTTACCAACTTTGATTACCTTGTAATATTTCTTTATGTCACTATTCGGACCTTTTGATATCTAATTATATCGTATGCTTTCGAAATTATCTTCTATCTGGTTTTATCGGTATTTTACAACTGGTGTTTAAATTTCTTTTGAACTACAATTTGGAAGGTTATTGTGAAATATCTTTATGTTTCTTTGTGTATTGTCCCGGCCGTGGTATTGACCAAATTGTGCATTTGTTGGGGATCTATTTGATGTCGTACCACAATTAAAACAGGAGCTGCTTAGCCATTTATTTATAATGTCATCATCATCTTCACCATCATCATCAACATAAGCATCATCATCATCATCATCATCATCATCATCATCATCATTATCATAGTCATGTGACCTTTGGCATCATCATCATCAGCATCGGAGCATCGGCATCATCATCATCAATATAGTCATGTGACCTACCAAGCTGGTCATTTTCGATAGTAAGGGACTTCCCCGGACCAGAGACGATCTCTGCTAACGAGTCTACCAGACTGTCCATCTTCTCAACCATGTCAGTTACCATGGTAGCAGCTGTGTCGTCGTTCTAATAAGGAGGGGAAAGGGACATTGAAATACTTGAATTTGATTTCATTTCATTTGGTGTACAGTCAAACCGGCTTTAGTGACCACCTGTCTACAAAGACCACATGTTTTGTTTCGTTTGAAAATGGTTTCTCATTAAAACATGTCTAAAGGAACTTGTACTTAAAGACCACCTGCCTATAAAGACCACGTTTTGTCTCCCTTGGGTGGTCTTTATAGACGAGTTTTTACTGTGTATTATTCCTAACTGAAAAAGCAGAAAAATGCTATTCAAATCACTCACAATTTTCTCTTTTTAAAAGGTTCATTGATTATTAAAGGCGATCCTAAAAATCAAGATTGGTTCAAAGTTGTTTATACTTAAAAAATTGTATCTCATTAAAACTTCATTCGGAAGAGAAATGGCGCTCTACTGTCGTTCTTTTTTACTCAATCTTCTTTAGAACTCTACAAATCACGAGTGTGTATCTTAATGTACTACTCAATGCAAACATCGGGATAGGCATTTTTATCATCAATTGAATACGATGGTAAAGGCTTTCAAGAAATCAAATAAGAGCGATTTCAAATTACCATTAAGTATTGCCTTTTGAAATCATGGTCGCATTATGCAATTTTAATGTTCGCATATTTCAAAAGGTAACACTCACGGGTCTTGAACTTGACTTCGGTTGATTTTTCGAAAGTCTTCATGAACGTGTTTCATGTTTAAAAAACTTCAATTAAATAAACAATTGTTACTCGCTAAGCGGAGAGGCTACCTTTTATCATTTTTTTCTCGAAAAAGTTAAACAGGATGTAACAAACTTTCAAACAATTCATCCTCTTGATTAGCTGAGGCGCTTATTAAACACGATACACTCGCGTCCAAATAAACTCACTAAATGACATGCATGAAGGATAATAAACATAAATCAGATATGTTTATTGCCAAAGAGGAATCCGTAATGATCGAGTTTCATCTTCTGTCTCATGCTTATCAAGCTGATTATAAGCGTGACGACATGATATGTCTACATTCGGTATCCATTCTAATTAGTTAGATTAACAGGAAGGGGAGTGAAATAACCTGCATCAGATTAATTTCTGGTTAAACCAGACAATCAATTTTTTTAAGAATTTGATTTCATTTTTTGTTTCGGATTTACTCCCCCCCCCCCCCCGACAAATTATGTGTTGTTACATTGATTACACATACATCAAGGCCTATGTATACAATAGACCTACACATTTAACCCACTATCACGTCATGTACAGAAACTACCTAAGCCCCTATCACACCAATCTAGTTCTCACTACATTCTGGAATCGTCCTAGAAAATCGTAAAACGGGTTGTGGTAGGGGTAGAATGTGTAAAAAAAAAATGTCTATAATACGATCCTAGTTCGTTCATAAACAGTCCTCAATATATCCATCTTGTCTGTACGTACTCCGTCCACAGTCAGTTCATATCAAGTTTAGAGCATACTCTGTATTTCGTGGTCAATACTAGTAATACAACCCTATAGGCATCTTCAAACAGCTCTCCTTAATATGAACCGTCGTGAACTTCTAGGCGAGACGAAACGTATTCGATCATTTTGATGAGTCATTGCAAAGTGACTATATAATTGAATCTACAGCTTTTTACTAATTATTTTGTTACAATAGATTGTCGTGATTGTCATAAGTTTCTTCGAGGCCTGCATTACTTCCAGCTAGATACTATAGCTCGTATGCAGTAATCAAATGTTAATGTGTTCTGACATTTTAATATATTTATATTTGGCATTAGGTGGTGAAAAGGGTATTCCTGAATGGCAAAGAAATCGATAATGAAAATCAAATGAAAATCAATCCCAAATTCAAAGAGAAATTATTAATGAAGGAGAGACTTACCCCTGACGGTCCGGGGCCGATCAAGGGAGGAGCGTCGATGATTTCATCGAGAATATCCAGAGTCCCTTGATCATCCTAAATAAAAGAAAAATTAGAGAAGAGAGGGGGATGGAGGGGTAAAGCGGGAGAGAAAGAGAGAGCGAGAGGGGGGAGAGGAGAAAGCCAGATAAAGCGAGAGAGCAATAGAGTTAGAGAGAGGGGGAGAGGTGGGAAGAGAGAGAGAGAAAGCGACAGACAGAGAAAGAGAGAGAGAGTGACAGGCAGAGCGAGAAAGAAAGGGAAAGGGGGAGAGGGGAGAGGGAGTGTGAGAGAGAGAGAGAGAGAGAGAGAGAGAGAGAGAGAAGGAGGAATGGGGGAGACATAACATAGTAGTGAAATACTGGAAAAGCAAAATGGACTTTACAATTTACGTATATTGTCATCACTTAAATCGATAATGGTATGAGTGCTTCTCTGTTAATATTTTACTGCAGCCTTGCAGATTATAGTAATACTATGGAAAAGCATCTTATGTATTAAAGAACAATCGTAACACTTCAACGATATTAATACTCTTTGCCTTATATTGCAAAGAATCAACAGGTCTCAACCATACAACACATCTTCCATATTCACTGGTTTATTTAATATACACGCCGTCGAGTTCGAAGCACTCTGTACAATCCCGAAAAAATAAACCTTTTCGAAATGACAAGTGTAGACATGCAGAGGGAAATTTGACCTCCCTTGCGATATACACGAGATAATATAGAATGACAGCATAAGGGAGTGAATATAAAGTGCAAGTCAAACTTCTGCAGGTGGAATCACTCAGATTCAGTCACACAGGGATATACTGTTTTTAAAGCAAATAACGAAACAAGACATGACAAAAAACAAACAAACAAACAAACACAAACAAACCATAGAAGCGATCTCGTACATTTTTCTTCTTTTGCAACTCTACATAATTTTCTCCTCGCTTAGCGGCAAAAATTCGATGCAAATACTTAGCGATCCTGCAATGAAGTTGGAAATCGCTTGAGTAGTTTGTTTTGTTGAAAAGAAAAAATATTATTATTTGTTGTTTTTATGTTTTCATTTTTCTTGTGTTGTTACGACGACAATTCTGAAGCGTTCCAAATTACCTTTACGCCTCTGCGAATCGAGACGACTGTCAAAAAAAGAGTTCTAGCTCTGGTACAATTTCTTCCATATGTTAAAAAGAGATATAATCATTATCACAAAGCTCTGTATTCGTTCAGTGTAGGTTGCTTTAAAACACACCAGTGTGACTGGACTCTTATAAATATATATATATACGGATTGTAAACGACATTCTGATGGAGGAAATATTAGTGCGCCTGCGCAACAAGCTTCTAATTCATTGCAGGTGCAATCACAACGATTCCCGTGGTGGCGCTTTTCAGCTTTCTCCGTCAGCATGGGCAGGGGATTGATGAGAGTTGACAAATGTTTGGGAAAGTTAACCGATTTAGTCTGCCGAGACGCAGGTTGAATAGGAACCAGAGTCTTTCATCCGCCGATGCATCTGATTTGGGTCCGCTTACACAGTGGAAATGTTTCCTTTAGGCACCCAACATGTAAAATGGACACTGCTCATTTCAGTTTCAATCGGTTAGTCCGAGACGCCCTAAAATCTACGTCAACGTGTATGGTGCGCTTAGTAATCAAGAAGCGCAAGGTATAGAAGTGGCGTCATTTATGAATGCACTTCGGGAAGGGAGATGTGAGTTAGCCTAGCGGTACGGTCAACTCTCTGTCTTTGCCTAAAACCGACCCAATTAAACGATTGAGATATTATGTGTAATTGGGTTTTCATACAATGTGTATCAATCAGATCTTATGATTTACGGCACCATATCTATAGGATCTCTATAGGATATGGGGTATGAGCTTTAATATAAACTCACCTTGAGTTCATTTCCCAAATGTCTTTGTGATTTTGTTGAATTTTATCCAGTTAAACCAACCATACATGCAAACAAATCCACATGATTTCCCGAAATGTATTAAAACCTATAATTTGACATGAATCAGTCTTTCAATTCGGTTCATGACACTCCATACCCTCCTCATTTACCAATTAACTGTAATGTCTTCCCTTCTAATTGTCTTCGAATGACCCCAATGGTCCACAAGAGAGTAATTTCCATGGAATATACGGTTGAGGGATGATACGTAATCTTCCATTTCCCTTCTTCTTTACCCATAATCCATCACTTGGGATTATACGTCTGGAAGAAGGATAATCATAGTCTAGAGTTCAGACACGAAAGGATTGGTAATTGAAAAAAGAAAACTGTCTAAATCCCGCTCCGCTCGACTTACAAAATGACTCGGAATTTGCCATCATGTTGCAATTGCGCGATGAGTCGAAATAGGCCACCGAATATCTTTCGGGACAGTTTATCGTAGCTTGCATGACTTGGTAGGGGCTAGGAGGGGGACTTGCAAAACTAAATTACTTCTCAGAGTTGAACTAGAGTCCCCTTCGAAATTCCCCAAAACATGTGCAAGCCAAATGAAATATTTGTGCATTGATGAGAGAATTTATTGGGAATTACATGATTTTCATTTGGGTAGCAGCTGCGTACATTCAATACTCCGCGCTGATTGTTTTCTGATGAAGTTTTTTGTCTTTCGGGAAACGAAGAATCGTCGGAGATGTGTCTTCCAAAATGAATTTGAAAAGCCATTCAATGGTAGTTTATCCTTCGAATCCGTTTGTTCTCCTTCATAAATAAGGGATCGGTACTTCTGCACGCTTTCTTTTCATTTCAGAGATATTTGCATACAGTACTGCTGTTTAAGAAGTTGAAACGGAATCCAATTTTTGATTGAGAGAGCATATAGCTCTCATTTATTTCTTCCAATATGTACAATTAAAAATCAAACAAGTTAACAGTATGTCACGCATAATTTCATGTTTACATCAAAATAGCAGAGTTATACATACATAAGAGCTAGTAATACAAATAAATGAAAGAAATGGGTGTCCCGAAAATGTAAGGAGGGGATCACCAGAGTAAACAACAAAAAAAACAAAAAAAATAGTTGTTTACAAATGAATCATGAATAATGCTAACGACAGCCGGAGGGGTGTGGTCGTTGCGACGCCACACCCCATCACTTTACAAAGCTGAGTAGCAAGGTAAATGAAGGAATGATAACTGCGCTCATGCTCTTCCACTTCTCCTCATCCTCATTCCTTCCTTCTCTTCATAAACATGGCTGCTTGATTTTCTATCCCTTTCCTAATTCTCATCATCCTGCTTTAAATCCCCCTTTCCCTCTTAATTATCTTTCTTCTTTCTTTACCTTTAAATTGTCTTTACTGTTTTACCATCACCTTCCATTTCTCCTCTCCTCTCCTTCCCTTCTCCTTCTTCACCGTCCTCTTGATATTACACCTTCCATCTTCTTTAATTTACCCAATTATCATTCTAACCATGTGGATCCCCCCAATCATTTCCGACTTTCTTCATCACCAGTCTTCATTGTCTCTCCAGGCTCTCTCTCTCTCTCTCTCTTTCTCTCTCTCTCTCTCCCCCCCCCCTCTCTCTCTCTCTCTCTCTCTCCCTCTCTCTCTCTCTCTCTCTCTCTCTCCCTCTTATATGACTTTTATCTGTCTGAATGACGACAAATAAATCAACGGACTGACAGTGCCACAGGAGGGCATTATGCAGACTCTATCTAATTATCACATCCCCTTATAATAAATCAATCGACAAATTGCGGTAGCGTGACATTTCAAAGCATTGAAATAAAACATTTTAATCCTTTGCTCCCAAGTTTCAAAAGTATGCTTTTCGTTCAGATTTCTTTTTATAAATCGTTCTTGTCTTTGCGATAACATACATTTATTCATATTTTTTCAGATTGTTGTCATAATATGTTTTACTAGAACATTATCAAAATTCATAATCATTACGAAAAAGCATCTGGGTTTCAAATTTCTGACATTAGGATATGTGTGCACTTAGCGAGATTTCATGAAATAAACCGATTTTACCCTTCTCAATCTAGTCGTAGCATTGCATGACTATCTCGTTATTGTAATGCAATACGTGTAATGTTCAGGATCGACATTTTCTAAGCGAATTCTATCGAATAAAACAACACTAGCTGTATAAATGGATCCATCAAGGTTCAAAATAATTGCCAGACCATTTCCGATGTGAGATTCGTCAAGTATCATAAACTCTTCAGCCTCTTCAACATTTTTCACCGCCTCCGCAATTGCATCTTACGAATCAATTCCATCTCTCCTCAAAAGTCCATTACACTAAGGGCGCGTTCATGCTTGATTTTGTAGGTAGAATGAGCGATCTGAAACGCTCATCGTAAACGCTCATCGTGATCGTAGTTCCACGGGGTACTGTTCATGCTTACTTCTCTGGCTCATCGAGGCAATTCTCCGTGTGTGGCCTTAATTGGTCTTCCAGCTGGATTCGCAAACCTTCACTGTGCATGCTACGTAGACCCACTAGAGGTCAGTGCGTTGACCCCATTTAAACGCGTTTACAAATAATTGTAAACGCATCTTTTTGTGAGTTTACGATCGGCGATCGTGATCGCCGTTTTTCGGTGATTCTACAAAAGTAAGCATGGACGCAACTGTGTTTTAAACTAAACGCGTAACAGATGCCTGATTCTGGCCAGAAAAAGTGAAACATGAACACGCCCTTATTAAAGAAAAACGTAATCATAGTGGGAATAACTATTGGGTATTCGCCTGCTGAGAGCCAGAAGGGCGTTATATCTTTGCAAAATGATCTGACTTAATGCCTTTCTAGCTGTCAACAGATTATGGCTGGTACACGCAGCGGTTGAACGCACAGCTAAATTCCTTGATGTCTGATGAGGCGTAGACGATGGAATATGGGCATGACTGACACGTGTGACATAATGCAAGAAATAAACTACAGATACAATTACAGATAAGACGTTATCTACCGTACTTTTTTAAGTTGCTTTGGTAAAATACAATGTATACCGACGAATTTTTAACCAACTTAAACGCCGTGACTGATTTTCATTTATTTACTCATTTTGTTGAAACAGCTAATGGATGAAACGTTAAAACGTTGCAAAGGCTTCCGAGATATCAAGTGTAATCCCGACAGCCTTGTGTGTCATAATGTTGAATGGCGCGAACATTACGAAGATATATATGATATGCTTATATTAATTTCCGCAGGTAGAACAATAGTGAGTTGCCAATGAGTTGATTTTTCGGGTGTCTTAACGGTCAGCTCATTGAATATTTGCATGTACAACACTATCAAGGTAGCACCCCCTCCCCCCCCCCCCCCCCACCACCACCACCCACACCCCAGCCCCTCGGCAACGCCTCCTACTACGCCTACGAACGTGGCCTGTATTCGCTTCTTGTTCGATGACTGGATGTTCAAGGTATGTTCGTCTCCATGGAAACGTGCATCAATTAAGGGGGATGCCTTGGCGGTATAAACGTGAGGCGACATTATAATGGTCGTGTGACATGGATGTAAGCATGCTCATTAGATGTATATACGGAACCAATGTCTTTCGTGACGACCTATTTCATGTGCTTAATTAAGCATGTGGGATACATCAAAAGGGGAATGGTCTGGAAAGAGTTTGGTCTACGTGCACGTCGTGGAACAACATATAAACTAGGAATCTTGTTGTTCACCTCAACATGTTTGAAAGTCGAATAGCCAATTCTTCTTTTATAATTTTATATTATTCTCCAATTTCTTGATTGCTGCTCTCTGCCTATATCGTCTTTTGATATTCGGAAGTTCTTTTTCTTCATTCTTCTGTCATTCTGTCTTAACTGTTTCCTTTGCTCCATTAAAATGTGTTAAATGCCCCTTCCTTCGTTTAATTATTCTCCTTTCATGTCTTAGATAATATTGTCTTTCAATCTCGGCTTCTCTTTTTGCCTTTCTTGTTTATTCTTTGTGTCTCTTCAAACTTCTTCCAATGTCTTTTGTCTTTCTTCTTTATCTGTTTCTGTTTTATTGGTCTTTTTCCAGTTTTATGGTTGTAGAACGATGCATCTCTTCTGACGCTTAGTTTTCCCTTCTTTTAACAATTCTTCTTTTCCTGCCCCTCCTCCTTGTTCTTAGTTTACTCCTTCTCCTCCTCACCATCTTCCTCCTCCCCGCCTCAAGTATATTCTTCTCCTCCTCCCCTCTCCTCCTCTTCCTCAACTATTCTTTTACTTTTTCTCCTCCTCCTCACCCTTCTCCCAGGCTCCTCCTTTACTATCTACTTCTTCTCTTCATCCTCCTCCTTCTTATCTTCCTCCTCCTTCTTCTTCTCTTTATTCTTCTTCTTCTTCTTCTTCTTCTTCTTCTTCTTCTTCTGCTTCTTCTTCTTCTTCTTCTTCTTCTTCTTCTTCTTCTTCTTCTTCTTCTTCTGCTTCTTCTTCTTCTTCTTCTTCTTCTTCTTCTTCTTCTTCTTCCTTCTTCTTCTTCTTCTTCTTTCTCTCCTTCTTCTTCTTCTTCTTCTTCTTCTTCTTCTTCTGCTTCTTCTTCCTTTTTCTTCTTCTTCTTCTTCTTCTTCTTCCTTCTTCTTCTTCTTCTTCTTTCTCTCCTTCTTCTTCTTCTTCTTCTTCTTCTTCTTCTGCTTCTTCTTCCTTTTTCTTCTTCTTCTTCTTCTTCTTCTTCTTCTTCTTCTTCTTCTTCTTCTGCTTCTTCTTCCTTCTTCTTCTTCTTTTTCTTCTTCTTCTTCTTCTTCTTCTTCTTCTTCTTCTTCTTCTTCTCATTCTTCTTCTTCTTCTTCTTCTTCTTCTCATTCTTCTTCTTCGTCTCCTTCTTCTTCGTCTCCTTCTTCGTCCCTTATCTCGCCCTCTTCTGCATCATCATTTCCTCCCTTTTCCTTTCCATCTCCATCCTCCTTCTCCTCATGTTCATCCTCCAGCTGACTACCCCCCCCCCCTCCCCCACCCCCTCCCCTACCTCTTTCTTCGACGACTGACAAGCAACCATGCACTATGTTATCATAATGATAAAAGAGAATATCTAACATTCCATTCCAATGGTTTTTAAAGACATTAATCGTCGACCAACCGGGCTCTCGTAATACATCCAACCCAGATGAAAATAGCATGATACCAACAGGTTCAATTGCACTATGATGACCGATAGGACGTCGAAATCGTGACTGACATTGACTTTGATTACGACATTGAGCGATTTAAACCCTAATGAAAGTGAATAATGCTTCCCCACAATAGCGGAAATGAAAAGCTGTACATCAAACACGACCAACTTCCCGCCATGTTTCCATGCAAACATCACTAATGAACTTAGTCTTTAGGTCGGAAAAGGGATGTGTTTTAAAAGCAATGTATCAGCGATTATTTGCCTAGAGGAGCATTGTTAATTTAACACTGTCAGAATGACACATTACGCAAGTAATTAACTTGATAAGTATATTGGACAACATCCATTATGGCCTGTCTTTTTATTTTCTTTAAATTAATTTGTTCGATGTATTCCTTCTTCATAAATCTGCTCAAAGTGGCACTGAAATTTTAGATTGAAATGTTGCAGTTCACTTAATTTCATGAAATAGCCACGGAATAATTGAACTTGACAGAAATAAGCATCTGGTATCATGGGAAATGGAGAAATTTCACAAAAGATGACATTTCGTTGACATTTGCCAACCTTCCATGATGTTTATTCTATAATTCGTTAACCAGACGAGAGCTAGCTTTCTGTTTACAAAGGAACCAAGAGATTCTTTTAAAAAGGAAAAAAAGACAAGAAATCACAACGGTTATTATTAGATTGGGGGGGGGGGGGTGGCTTACCGTGAACTGTGCAACAAAGTCCCCTATCTGAGCCTTCGCCTCTTTTAGAGCAACTCGAGCATTATTCTGTGTAAAAAAAAAAAAAAAAAAAAAAAAAAAAAAAGATTCAAATCAAACAATATATAATCTCAACAACCTCGAAAAATAATTAAATCGTAGTTTTTTTCAAATCGGATACATATTTGTCTTTTGTCAGTACTTCCAGCCCTGTTGACTAGACTTTTAAAAAGAGCATAAGGACATACCTCTTCAATAACTAAATGTTTATATATTTCTATATATTTGATAACTTGTGTCATTTATTTTCATTATTTTCCGTTTGTAAAAGGCATGGAACAATATGATATTGAATTTTTCGCTGTACAACAAAAAAATTGTACGTGATGTACGTGTTATGTATATTCGATTAATTTACCAGTTTTTCCTCTGGCGTTGAAGTCCCGACGGGGGCATGTTGATATTTGGTAGTTGGTGTGGTCCTGACAGTGGGTGTGGTCTTGGTAGTAGGCGTGGTTATGCTGGTGGTTTGGGTAGTGGGTGTGGTCCTAGCAGTGGGTGTGGTCGTGGTAGTGGGCGTGGTTATGCTGGTAGTTTTGGTAGTGGGTGTGGTCCTGGCCGTGGTAGTGGGCATGGTAGTGGGCGTGGTTGTGCTGGTGGTTTCCGGTGTAGGCGTGATCATCTCAGTTGTTGTAAGCTCTTCCGTTGGTTCAACGGGAAGTGCTTCCGGGGCTGCTTTACACTGAAGGAACTTGAAGACTGAAAAACATTAGAAAGAAAAAGAAAGAAAAGAAAACAAACAAATAAAATATTCTGAAAGTTTTCGGTACTGTGCTACTTCAAGAAGTGGCCTTTTATACATTTTTTGTGCCACTGTCCGCACTTGAGTTATGAGTTGTTGGCGTCGTCGTAGTTGTTGCTGTTGCTCCTGCTACTGCTACTGCCGTTGCTGTTGTTGTTGCTGTTGTTGTTGTTGTAGTTTATTAGTTTACTAAATTTTGGGGAAATTATTATTTGGTATACTTTTACGGTTGGGTGTAGTCTAATAATCTGGAGAACGAAATATAGGTGACCGAATAAGATATTGTTTTCAAATTACGAAACCGGAAGGTGCAGATTTCGAATCCATTTATGTGACGTGTACTAGTATTCTTTGATAAGGGGGCATCAATATTCTCGCTCATCTAGTCTCTCGGAGAAGGTATTAAACGTTTCTGACGGTTCTGAAGAACGTACTTTTGCAGAGTATAGTCTTTGATTATGTCGTGTAAGAAGGGGAGGAAAGGGACTCATTTCTGCGACAATCTTGGTCAGTTTCTCATTACATTTGAAGCTTAGGCATAGACAGTGGACCCAAGGTTGCACCACCCCTTTTACTTGAGAAAATGATAATAAAAAATGCCCCATCCCCCCCCCCCCCATTTCCTCCTTTTTTTTCCCGGAAACGTCATGAAAATATCACTACAATTTGCGTATAAACCCTTTGACAACCCCACCCGAAACTGGTAGGAATTCATGACTTTTGATAATCATCTTTCAAAGTAATAAAAAATCACGCAGTAAAGAAAAACTCTCGCTCCACCCCCCCCCCTTTCTTTTTTGTCTTGACGACCCTGAATTCGCCTCTGATTTAATGAGTTACATGAATGGATGACTGGCAACATATGAGTTTAGCAGACCATGGTATATACCAGACACATAATGAACGATAGTGGGAGGGAATGAAGCGAGTCGAGCGGTACCGAGTATCGGGGGAGAGGCGGCCCAAACATCACGCTTCGTTAGCTTCATCACCTGCGCTAATGACCACACTGGTCCCACCACACAGAAAATCATGATGAGAGTGAGAGAGAGGGATAGATTGAAAGAGAGTGAGAGAAAGAGACAGAGAGAGAGTGAGAAAGAAAGAGAGACAGGGAAAAGAAAGAAAGTGAGAGTAAAAGAGAGAGTTAGAAAGAAAGATAGAAAGGTGAGAGAAAGAGAGAGGGAGATAGAGAGAGAGAGTAGGAGAGAGAGAGGGGGAGATAGGGGATAAGGAGAGAGGGATAAAGAGAGAGAAAAAGAGAGAGAGAGATTAAAGGGGGAGAGAGAGAGAGAGAGAGAGAGCGCGCGAGCAGGGGATGCGGGGGCGAAAAAGCGAAAGGCACGCGACGTCTTTAATGAAGTATTACTACCAACATTTATCTTTTTGATTTAGTGTACACATTTGTCATCATAATGAATGTTCAGGGAATAATTACCTTTTTATTATCTCTTTAAAACCATTTAATCAAAACTAAAGTTTCAAACGAGAAAGTCTAGAGAGCTAATCACGGTAAAATGAATGCCATATGCATGATGTTCGTAAGAACAGGTTCACATCTAATTAAGATGTCGAATACTGTAATTACCTGAATGTCGCAAAAAATCGATGCCACGAATTCGTTTGAAAGAAACGATCGAAATATCAGCGAACTACGTAAGAAAATTAAGAACTCATTATCCTTTCTAGGACACCATAATCTTCTACATCAATCACTTTTGCCTTTAAGAATGCAATGCCTGCCCGAGTATTCACCTTCCGAGGATAATAACCCAGTCGCTGCCATGTGAAAAATTCCATCTACTATTAAGTCTCACTAAGTTTTTTCCGTTCAAGGCGCTGTTTTAGAAGCATTATGATGGGAGGGGGTAGGGAGGAGGGGGGGGGGGGAAGGAAAATATTGGATAATCAATCAGGTGAAATTATACCACTGATTATTATGTGGTAATTATTAATAATCAGATTATTCTTATTCACAACATACTCCTACGCTGTCGCTGCTTTCCAAGATGATATACATGGGCGAGTTGTGATGCCATGATTTTCAGATAATTTGTCGAACGATGTTTCTAATCTTTTATTCATTATGTAGTCAACTGTATGAGAGACGTTAAAACAAGAAAATTAATTTAATGGGGTATTCATGATAGGCCACACATGAAACACTTTTTGTTAGATTTCAAACTATTAAAGTGCATAATTTCCTTGCAATAATTATTACCGAAACCTAAATTCGACCATGGAATATCAAAACTGTGATACGAAAATCATAAAAGGTGCGCTGTGTTAATTGTTTACAATTAGATGAAATGCTTGAAGAAGAAAAAAAAATGACTCGACATATGCGTTCTTGGATATTTGCAAAACAAAAGAAAAAAGGAGTAAGTAAAAATTAAATGAAATGGGGTATAGGGGAGAAATGTAACAACAAAAAGTAGGCCGTACACCTATCAAATACAAAGGAGCGGACATACTCCCTAATGGAAAAGAAAATCATATCAACACTGCCTGGAGAAAGTATTAAACCCAGAGAAGATGAAAGAAGATGATGATTATTGCTTTCTTCGCTCGACCAATTTACTTTTGCAATAAATGCAGCCGGTCAGTTTGGTCCTTAATGAAAATGGTGCATATTTGATGGCGGCAAACACTCCCGACGCCACAAGGAATCTTGTTTCTCTCACGTCCTCGAATTTCGGACACGGTTATTATACCAATGGTCAACGGCTTGATGGTCACGGAGAGGGTCAGTGGATAAATAAACTTTATTCGTTTATTCAGCGAAATATTGACTATGTGTTCCTTTGTGTACTTAAGGGCATTATCATTGTCATACGTAATTAGGTATGCCTGTCAAAACAAGAGGTCTTCTTTTGACCCAAAGAAATAACGCCTTCAAAAAGACACTATAATTATAATAATAATATATTAAATGACAGGCGAACGTCATGCGAACCAATTCACCGTCTGTAGATAACATGCCCTCATGCAGACTTCATCAATGATGACGTAATTATTGCGTTTTCCATGATTGTAAGTTTCTATTTCCTTATACAGAACTTTTCCTTTAATCTGTAAAATGTTTGATACAGGTGCTTTTCAACAGAAGATGTAACGGCTTTTACTCCAAAAAAAAGAAAAAGGTGAAATAACAAGGAATACAATTTCGCTTATAGTGACATATTACATTAGATAATTACAGCCCATCTTCCCCGGACCAATTATACATATTACTCCTCTATAATTGATCATTTACGTTTGGAAAATGCACCCAGTCATAATAACATGCTGACGGCCTTTTCTTCATACTGCACATTACATAATTGCAGATATCCCCTTTTCAGACCCATTATCAACATTACATTTCTATAATTAATCCTAGGATAATGCACCCAGTCATATACCATAATGTTGGCCTTTCCTTCATACTATACATTACTTAATTACAGCCAAACTTTTCCTTCATACTGTACATTACCTAATTAGAGCCAACCTTTTTTCAGACCCATTATCAAAATTACTCTTCTGTAATCAATCATTTATGTTTGGAAAATGAACCCAGTCACAATATTATGCTGGCGGTCTTTTCTTCAGCTTGAGAGAAGGGCTCTTGAACAGTTAATGGTAATGCTTGATGCTTGATGCTTGATGCTCTGCAATGCTTAACTCTATGTAAACTTTAATGGGTTTACTCCCTTTTGGCTATGAAGAGACGGTAGTATGCTCGGCATATCAGTATATATCCGCCGTAATGGAATTAGGAGTGGGGCGTGGGGGGGGGGGGTAGGAGACGCGCGCCTCCTATTTCGAGACATCTACTTTTTCAGAACCCTGGATCCGCCACTGGTTAGACATGTTAGAAGGCATTGCAGAATTAGAGTTAGATAAATCATACGTGTATCATAATTGTATCTATCAGTATATATCTGCAGTGGTGGGTGAGGGGGGGGGGCAGGAGATGCGCGCCCCCTACTTCCAGGCATCTTCTTTTTCAGAACCCTGGATCCGCCACTACTAAGACATACACTGTAGAAGACATTGATGTATAGGAGTTAGATAAGTCATGCATGATAACGTTGGTAGAGACCATTCCGCCATGTCACATCAACACGTGACATTTGCAGCTGAATATTTTGTCAGTATTATTTTTGTCCTGCGACACCGCGAACCTCATCCGTCAGTCGTAAAAACAGACGTTATGCGTATTAAAAGTAATGGATTTGATTTTAAGATGACAGGTTAATTACAGGAAGTTATTCAAAGAACGAATGATATGACAACGTCTCGATCGTTAGTGCGGCGGCCTGTCATTTGTTGCGTAGCCTCTGAAAGGGGGGGGGGGGGGGGTACCGCCAACAAGTTTGTCCATAAACGTTAATTCTTATTACTGATGTACACCGCAAGAACATGTACAAGGCAAGACGAACCACATGTGCAGTGTTCCAGGTGACAACATTTGGCGGAATCTAATTTAGACAATACAGTAAGAAGAGTCTATTTTAAAGGCACTGTTCTTTTCATGCAAAACAACCAAGAAAGCCACATTTTCTCCCATTCAAAATGGTGTCATTGCGCCTCTCTATAAATGTCTATCAGAATTTTGTTTTTAAAAGGGAGTACCACAATTTCTCGCTATCCTTTCTAATAACTGTCGCCAATAAACTTGTTATTAATTAGTTTTTCAGACACCACCATTCCATTCTAAATATTTCAACGGCACGTCTGTTTGTGTAACCTGCGTTTTCTTACCTTCTTTATAGCAGAAGAAAGGATGAGAATCCTCACAGCTCGTTTTCAAGTTGCTGGTGTTGGTGACAAAACATTCGGAAGTTGCATTTTCTCTCGTTTTCTGTTGGAATAAATTTGCAGATAATGAAAGTTTAATATTTTCCACCTGGGTTAAACTTGTTGAAAATGTGAATAAATATTGACTAAATGATTTCTTCATATATTCTATTTCAGTTGTTTCATTCTCCGTTACGCGACATTCACATAATCTTCATTCATTTATTTCACATTTTCTCTTTCAAATCATTCTAGAAGAAATGGCCAGTTTTTACATTCATTGATTAAGTTTCTGTTACTTTCTTTTACACCTATTCAATAAATGGCTTCTATGGGGGGCAGGGGCGGCGATCCCGGGGGACGGGGGGGGACACGTCCCCTTCAATTTTTTTAGGGGGGATCGTCCCCCCCCCCCTCAAAATTTGAAAAAGTGCAAAAAAAAGTGTATAGCAAATACTGACTAAAGACTGCAATAAACTTTAAGGCTCGGGACGGCACTGGACGGCACGTGAGTGCAGCGTTTAGACGAATAAAAGTGCAAAAATCTTCTCGATACGCTCTCTCGCATAATATTCTTCAAACAAGTAAATAATTGTAGAAAAGTGAAGTGTGAAAAAGGTATATTGCTTGTTTTATACTATTGTTTTGCTAAGGAATGTTATTTGTTAATACAACAAAACTTCAAAAACCTGTAAGGGGGTAGTCACTTCCTTTACCTTCACCCCTCTCGTTCACTATGCTCCCTCGCACTGGCGTAATGACGAGGGGGGGGGGGGGTTGTGGCAGTTTCCCTCCTAATAACATTCAAACGTGGTTTATTTCTAATTTGATACCAGTGATTTACAAATGTTGCTGAAATGGCATGGTTTTTCCCTGAGCTTCCGGGTGCTCTGCCCCCTGTACCCCACCAAAGGCCCTAAGACGGGCCCCTGGTTGCTCATCTGACCGTAATTAAATGCCTAAAAACCCTGAGCTTCCGGGGGCTCCGCCCTAAGGCAGGCCCCTGGATACTCATCTGACCGTTATCAAATGCCTAAAACCCCTGAGCTTCCGTTACTGAGAAGTAACAAGGGCCCCTAAAGCGGACCCCTAGATGCTCATCTTACCGTTATAAAATACCTAAAACCCCTGAGCTTCTTTGAAGTATATTCAGTATGTTAGGACAAAAAATATATATTACTCCAATATGCGAATACCGTATCCATTCCTCAGCATTCTCTGCGTTTGTTACTTTGAACTCGCCAAGGTAGTCTCACAAATATGGACAGTAATTTGACATGGTATTCGGCTGTCCACATTTTTTTTAGAACTTGTAACGTAAGATCTCGAAATGTTTTAGTAGAAAACTCATTGAAAGTAACGAAGGGTTTCAATAGGTTCTAAAATGTAGTGGGGTACTTTGCGAAGAAGCAAGGGCAACAAAACAGTTTAATACAATTTTTTTTAAATGGTGGGGGCACTGAGAGAGCGGAGAGACTGAGTGGGGTGTAGGAGAGGAGTTTTCCCTCCATCGAGACATGGTCTAATGCATGTTAAAGAGTTAGAGCGGGTAAAAGAAAATGTTATGACCCCCCCCCCCCCCCCCCGCCCGCTGCGCCAAAATATTTTGATGTCCCCGCAAATTATCCGAATTAGAATAGAATAGATGCATTCAGACTCAGGAATAATTCCCATGAATCAGGTAATTACATTTTCTGCCCAGTGTGTCCATTCACCCCACTGTGGAGGAAGGAGTTCGTCATTCGAGCCTTCCGAGTACACCGTCAAGAACGCCTCCATGTGTCGACATCTGGTATAGGCTTGGTCAAAGGTCAAAGGGTCATTGACATGTTTGTGACATCTCTTTCTCCTGAATGACCATCCTTGTGGACACTTGTCATCTCTGCTCACTGAAAGAGATTGGTTTTAAAATGACATAGACTGAGTTAGAAGATAGACATAATTAGAATCTGAATTAAAATGGGACAGGCCTGTTCATTAACCCACTCATACATGAGAAGGCATGTAAAAGGCGATTGGAAAGTATGTAAAAGGCGATTGTAATAGCAATATTGTAATATGTAAAAGTATAAATAATTCATTATCTTAATTAACCAGGTAAAGCCTCAACAGTAATGTATTACAGTCCTCCGAGGAATCTTGCAATTGTATTACCCTATCGTTGCTATAGGTATACCAATATCATACACCTGGGTCCAGAGGGACAAATATGAATAAAAACACCTTCATGGAGGATGCTAACACGGAGCAAAGATCGATCCTTGACCTCCCAAACGATAGTCAAGAGCCTCGTACAGCGAGATGCTGCATGTGTCTCATGTAACGTACCTTATACCAGGGTAATTATGCTGCATTATTGTAGAGCGCTTAGAGACTTCTGACAAAGTAAGTGTTAGGCGCTATATAAGCACTGTAATTATTTTATTTATACATATTCATAATCATGTAAATATATACACATGCGCATTATTTATCAGTAGGTGAATGAGAGATTCAATAAACTACGGCAATCATGTTTACAACTTGGTTGATTTACGTTATTATTGTATTGTTTTGAGTATTCTTTTGTTTGTGTGAGATAAGAGGGATAATCAGTCACACATGTAGAACTCTCTCGTAGTGATAAATACATAAATTTGACAAATTGATTCAGGGCAGGGTGTTACTGAAATTATTCATGAGGCTTCAACCACGTATACCACAAGACCAATGCAGGTGATAATTACAATGCTGACTAGAAAATGGCATGTTTCACTATAACCATTTTCCCCAATAGAATGTAGTGTTATAAAAACCGTTAGGAAAACGAAAAATGAAATTTCGAATTTCCAATCATAAATATTTTGATAATTATGCAGGCGATCGGCTAATAAAAGTCATGGGGATTCCTGACTGACCTAAAGGTTTATAATTATGATTGCAGCATGAGCTAAATCGCGGATTCTGTTTCAGAGGCAATGTTACCCAGTCACTTTAAATGAAAGACGATTCCACGGTTCCAACTGAGACAAACAGAAGATAGTATGAATTTAAAATAGAAAATGAAAACAAACGAAAACTAAAAATTTTAAACGGTAAGTTTTTACAAACTATATTGTGATAAAATTATATTATGATGAAAAGTAACACGAGTAAACAATGTTCTTAAGTGAGAGAAAAAATAGAGTTTATGAGAATTTATGGGTGAAAAATTCAGAGCTAATGAGAAGAAAAAACCCAAGACAAGTAGTACATTATAAGAAAATACAACTGTTCTACTTTAACGCACACGACATTGATAAATATTTAGTAAAATCACTGCAATCGATTAATAGTCATAGGTGAAATAATTCTCAATGATTAGCTGTAAAAGTAAATGCCACTCAAAACAACCGCAATATATAGAGAGAATAGTAAATGCTTGAGACAAATTAGAAAGTGTAATAGATAACATAATAAAGTTACACATGAATATAGACGCCGTTTAAAAATAAGCCTGTAACCACACGATTAAAAAAAAGATGTTCCAAACTAAAATGTAAGTACTCTACTCTCGACGATAAGTACTTATTTGATGTATTCTATTTGATTCTGCACATTACGGCCTACAAGTTTTAGTCATTACTTGTAAAATGCCATTAAGTTCTAAAATGGCATTTAAATAGTCGTAAGGGTATGACAAAAAAGTCTTGACAGAAGTATGGAAGGACTCACTTAAAAGGTTCTTTCTAGCTTTTGAAAGTTACATGAAATCAAGGAAAGTGAAGACAACTATTAACGGCATCAAACATCCTAGAATTAGGCAAAAGTGTCTCCCCTTTGGATTATTCGAGGGAAAACTTTTTTTCCGTAGTTATTGAATAAAAAAAAATGAATCTAATGACAATGACGAAAACTAAACCTTGAAACAGTCAGTGCTAACAAGAAACTCGAACAAAGTGATGATGAAATGAATCACACAAGAACTTCCTATAAATTGAAAGTATTTGGAAACATTCAGAGGCGTCGCTTTTATGTTGGTCCTTATACAGACAAATCTCTTTTTGAAGTAATCCCATAATAACGATTGTTTCGGTTAAATTATTTACTTCTCATACTTGCAGACGAATCATACACATTTTCGTGTTTATATTTGTCGTCTTGCTTTTTTTTTTGGGGGGGGGTGGGGGTTTCATATCAAAAGACTCGTGTTTTATTCAGAACGGCCAAACCTATAGCAGTTGGCCTCGTAAGTTAAAAAGGCTAACGTTAAATTATATATAGCGACGCCCAAACAACCAGGGGTGTTTCACAAAGACTAAGATCGACTGTAAGTTGTACTTAACTATGGCGGCTATTCATGCCACTGTTTGCTCTCACCGTTTACTAGCATTGGTCTCTCAAGAGACGGTCACATATTATGGTCACAAATCTACAGGATTAACATTTTTTGATAATTCATAGTTAAAGGAAAAAAATAGTATCTAAAGATAATAATGGTGAGATCGATCAGTGGTATTAATGGCCTGTCATAGTTAAGTCCAACTTAAAGTTGATCTTAGTCGTTGTGAAACACGACCTGACTATATTTACCTTTTAAGTATAGAAATCACAGCAAACAAATATCAAATTTTTAAGAAAAAGTATGATATATATTTATATTTTTTTATCACAACTTAAACTCAAGCTTATGTGATTTTTTTGTCTCTTCCATTACTATTTCAGCTGAAATTTTACGTCTAAATATATAGTTTTTGTTCGTTGTTGAGACATTTTGCGATACTCTGTACACATGGCACGTCATCATTATAGATTTAAATATTACTGTTAATAATACTTTAGTCATGGAGAGAGGTATACTGCTTGCAAAGTAATTTGGAAGTTACCATTATCAAGTCATAAAGTTATTACTTTGAATTTTAACGATAAGCTTGAGTTCTGGTAATGATAGAAAATAATTTATCACAGAATCCAAAAAAATTAGACTGAATGTTTCATATTACAAAGAAATGACATGTGCTGAACAATTTTGGTAGAAGAAGTATAGGGGCTGAGTATTGAGCATAGAAAAATAAAGAAATCAAGGTACGAAAGCCCGACACCATGTGCCTAACACAGAAATGAGAGTTGTGGTTTTTATTGAAGATTTTTTTAATTTATTTTACTGGTTCAACCAATCAATCTGCTGCAAGATAAACAATCAACTAAATCCAGAATGAATTATAGTCATATTTTCTTTGGATACCATGCCCATCCCAGGGCTAAATATAAGCTTTAAGGTAAAAGAAAAAAGAAAAAATTCCCATGAATCAATGCTTTAAATAATTACTTCATGAATTAAGAAAGTATAATGATAGTTGTAGTAAACGTGGTAACAATAAAAAGGTATGATGGTAATAGAATAAAATAGTAAAAGTATAATAATAGTGAAAATAATATAAACAATATATACTAATAATGACAAAACAAAGAATGAAAAATAAAAAGCAATAAAATAGAATGTTACCTTCGGAGTCACTTTGGGTGGAATCTTTTTTCTTCTCTGTATATATTAAATATTACGTCAAAATGAATTAATCTCACATTAATGTTTCGACCAATAAGAACAAAAAAAAATGTAGTGTTCACATGTGGTTTCATTAGTAAACTTTTGAATTACTCGGTAACGCATTATATACCTAGATTGGAGCATGATTGCACGAGGTTTTCTTCCTGATGTAAAGAAATTATCGACTGATTGAATTTAGTTAACCAAGACAAATCACACCAGCCTAAAAAGACTGTTCGTCAACCTTTTCAGAAACCTTTAAGAGAGTAATGAGGAATATTGGAATGTGATGAAAAAGGTATTGAACTAGGTCATATTATTCGATAATATAATGAGAGGATGTTTACCTGACTTCAAATGATTTAAAGGAACAAGTCCTCAGTAGTTTGTTATTTATTTCACATTACACGAAATATACGGATTAGCAAAAAACAATATACATGCAAGGGATTTGCAAGCAGATGGATATTTCACCTTGATTTTGGCACTATTTATTTCAAAACCTTTATTATTGTTTACTAACTTCTTTGACAATAATTATGCAAAGCAACGAATATATTTTTGTATCAGTTGTTTAAACGTGATTATCATTTCAAACACAATCATAGACAATTTGCGTTTTGTTATTTATTCACTTACTATTTCCCGCCGATTTGTAATGGCATTTGGTGAGTGATTCCTTTGCACAGCTTCCAAATCTTGTGGCGTTCTTGTCGACACGACACGAAAGTATCGATCCCTTCTCTGATAGTCGGTCACAGGTCACATACGTGTAGGTGTTCTCGTCTGTCACAGATCGGATCGGCATCGGGTCTTCTACAGTATCCTGAATGGAAAACCACAAGAAGAAAACACGGATGTGTAGTGATATACAGATATTGAAATATGATACACCCTGTATACTGTCACGAAGACCTTTAATTTCATCCCCCATTTCCACCTTCTTTTTCAGTTTATACAGGGTGGTGGTGCAAAAACCAACCCCGCAATCTCGCACAACCAACATCACCATTGACAAATCTCAGATTTCAAAATTCATGTCGAGAAATTTCCCCGAAATAGGTACGACTGTCTTTTCATTTCTGTACACGGAAAACATAGTAATATCTATTTATCAACAGATCGCTATGTACCAAACTTCCTGGCAAGGTGGACAGCCCCCATCGACTCCCCTACTCCATAAAGAAAGAGCTATTTTCAGTGACTAACCTAATTGTCCGTTGCCAGAATATGTGCCTGCCAATTTTATCTACCCCTCCCCCCGTAAAACATCCACGAGCCACCCTTTCTTCTATATACCAAGAAGAGTTAGTGTAATATCGATTATAACCTGTTTAGAGGTTGTCCCACAGTAAGTATGCCAAAGTTGGTCTTGCCACCCCCCCCCCCCCCCTCTGTAAAACGTCCCAACAATGCCCTTACTTTGTTTAAAGCCCCACTGCACTACTTGAAGCTACTTGTTCCCTCTATATAGTAAACCATGCCAAAGCGGTGCCCGTCAGTCCCCCATGATCCTCTTTTTCTTATGTTAATTGAGAGCTGAGTTGATGGGATAACCACGCTGGGTGGTCTAATCCCTCCTGGCCAAACTAGTACAGACGGGCTTTAAAGGAAGATCGACTCACCTGTTTAAGGGTTGTCCCACCATCATGACGCATGCACGTCATCTGTCCTCTTTCACATTGGAACATCGTTGTGTCTTCAGAGGCCACACATCTTCTACCGTTGCTGTTGTCTTGCAGCATCTGCTTCACCAGGTGACTGGAGTTGCCCTTGATACGGAAGCATGCCGGTGAGATGGAACCGTTTCCCATAGACCCCGAGAAACAATCGCAGATGTCCCGACATCGGGGAGATGTCTGAGGAAAGAAAATAAAATAAAAATAACATGAACAACTCATAAAGAAAGCGTAAAATTGGAGCACCATACCATGGAGCTACTACATAACCATACTCGTGCCAGATTCAGAAAAAATGGACAACCCTTTAAACAGTTTTAATTGTTATTGTTAAGATTATTTGGAATCTACCATGCTTATGCGATCATCACATATGCCAATGGAGACGTTTAATTATAACACCACAAACAGATGACGGTTTTTCTGATGGGAGTTTCCTTTTATCATCAGTGTGTAAATAAAAAGTTTCCTAATCTTTTCTTCTTATATTTGTTTCGAGGAACTTTCAGTAATAAAGAATGATGTCATGATTGTTCTGCTTTTATACTCAAGCCTACTTTCAGTAAAGTTTTGATTCTTTAGTAACCCGTTGTTATTAATGGTTGGTGGAATCGACCAACATGAGGGTTATTTGGAGGGGTCTGCTTGCCATTTATAACGCTGTTTATAAAAGACCGCTATTCATTTAGGCTCGCGTTATGGATAGCGGTCCTGATGGATTTCGAGCTTGACCCATTGGTAGTCTTACCAACTTCAGGGCACTTATCTCCCAGCAATAATTTTTTTCCCCAATGTATTTTTTTTATTCATTCATTTATTTTTTAAATATGTTTTTCAGTGTTTTTTCAGTGTGTATTCATAGAGAAAAGTAAATATAACCCAAGTTGGAATCTGAATTGCTCAAATTTGATCGGACGCATAACAACGACCTTCTATCGGTTGTTGAACGCAGCATTCTTAAGAATATACATTATGCGCGAAGTCCTCCTGGGGTGTTTCACAAAGACTAAGATCGAATTTAAGTTTGACTTAACTATGGCAGGCCGTTCATGCCATTGTTTGCTCCCACCATTTACTGGCATTGGTTTCTCAAGAGACGTGCAAGCCATTGTCACAAATCTACAGACTGTACATGTTTTGATAATTCATTAATGAAGGAAAATGTATTATTTAAAGTTCATAATTGAGAGACCATTGGTGAGAGCAAACAGTGGCATGAATGGCCTGCCATACACTGTTAGAACGGTGTTTAAAATATCACTGTTTAAAAGAATGTTGTTTAAAAAAGTAAACAACGTTGTTCAAAATCGAAAAATCAGTGCTCGATTGACTTAAACAACTATGTATTAAAAGACAAAAATATTTAATTAAACAGAGTTGTTTAAAAAGTCCCGGGGGCGTCGTTGATATTTTCTCGATACGCGATTGCTATTTGCGCACACACATGCGATATGCACAAAGTACGTACATAATACATGCATGCAAGCATGCAGTGCTAGTGTGTGCAGTGCAAGTGCTAGTGCAGTGCAGTGCAGACGAAAATGGCGGAACAAGGGCAAGGCGACGACTTGGTTCTTCTCGGCTTCGCCGATGGGGTTTAGGTGAAGTTATAGAGACAAATAATAATGTTGTCTGTCACTGCCATGAATATGATGAACAAATGTTGAAGTAAATTGGCAACAAGCTCTGCATGTTGCAGTGTATAAATCGTTGTGATTATTGCAGGAGTGGTTCCAGTAGGTCATTTTACAAATTCAAACAACCAGATAATAACCATTAAACAGTTCTGTTTAAAATTTAAGCAACTCCTTTTAAACAACCCAGTTGTGCATTAATACTGAATAAACAACAGTTGCTTAGTAATTTAAACATTATTGTTTAAAATTTAAACAACTTGCTTTAAACAACCGAGTTGTGCAATTTTATTACTAAACAACTGTTGTTTAAAAGGTTTCCTAATTTTTAAACAACTAAGTGTTCAAAATGTAAACAACCTTAATTTGTTTAATTTTTAAACAACGTTGAGCGATTCACCGGTTAACTCGGGGTTGTTTAAAATTTTAAACAACTTGTTTAATTTTTTTCTAACAGTGTAGTTAAGTCCAACTTAAAGTCGCTCTTAGTCTTTGTAAAACAACCCCCAGGACAATTAAAAATAGGGGCAAGGTCATATAGAAGCACACCTGCATTTCACAATCAGTTAAACCGGGAGAAGAGACCAGTGATGGTCATATTAATTACAGATCGCTTTTCCCCTCACAGGTGCAGGTGCATGACGGCAAAATACTTAATAATAAATACGGCCCAGATACTGCTCTCAAAATGGATAATTCAGATAATCATATAGTCCAATATGTGTATATAATAGTGGGTAATAAAAATAAGATTAGAAATATGTCTTTGTATACCGTTTCACTTTACATGGCATGTGCATGCAAGCGTTCTTTCATTGAATAATTAATGTAAGGCTAATTGGAGAAAGAAAATGTGAATGTTAAAAAGTTAAAAAGGAAAGTTGAGATTTTAATAAAGACCTTTTTAAAGTGTTTCTCACCATCATCAGTAAAATAATGATATTACAAATATCTTGCACCTTTATTTACGGTTAAATATCATTATTAATCAACGATTTCTGTGTAACTGGTTTCAAAGCATTTTATCTCCGCCAGCGTTATCAGCAGAATGTTCCACCCTCTGAACAAAGTTTTGACAGTTGAAATCAATTACCCCTCGTTTTAATTGCAGAATTAACAACACAAAATTGTATGACTAATTGGAAGTTCATTGAAATCCATCAAATAACATTCTGTTGATTAAAATCAAAATAGCAACGTGTCGTTCGTTTGTGTATCTACCACTGTAACCTATCTGTCAAGAACTCATGAGATAGCGCTTACATCAACCTTGAGGAATTATTAGCAAAGGACCGAAATGGCGGCTTAATAAAATTTGTCTCTCCCGAAGGTAATATTTCATAGGTTATGCATACATAATTCAAACATTATGATCCCCAATTCGCAGATGCAGTCGGCTGTTGATTGATCTGTCTCGGTAATGATGTGATTGGGTAGACCAATTGTTAGTTCGACCTTGAAAGGGCGATTATTAACCATGTCTTCGTACATGTGGCTTGCAATAGCATAACGGCGCCATTTATAAAAAGGTGTGATGAACTGCATTCGGGCTACCAATCAAGGATTAGATCATTGCTATATCCTCGACCTCCATACTCAACATTCAAGATTCTAAATTATTTAGTACGCCTTTCGACAAAGGTTATAAGACTTATGATACAGTGTTGACAGATTCATTATTTTTTTTCTCGCATTTCTTCCATTCGTAAAGTGTTTTAAACAGGTCTCATTACTATTAATTCTTGTTACGTTATTCATCTTTGTTTTCATATTATTGTCATGTGTTCACTGTGTACCTGTTAGGTCTGTACATAATTTGTATACGTTGTTGTTATTGTTCAGGCCCCTCAGGGATAGCAGCTTGTTAACAGAAGATGCAACCCTTCATTTACATCCTGTTAAAGGTGAACCAATGTATATCTTCTCTTGCAGTCTTGTAATAGGACAAAGGAAAAAAATGCATCCACACATACGTAATTGCAGACATGCTAAAGCCAGGGTAATAATCGGGAACGCCAGGAGTGTCAAGTCTGACAGACATGGGCGCTTTACAAGAACCCAATATCATTATCATTATTTAGTAATATTATTATTATCATTATTATTATTTTGATGCGAATGAAATGGACTTTCAGCTCGCCCTATGACGTCACTTCTTCGTAATAATTACATGGTATGATGGAGGAAGAGAAGATTAATAAGATTGGGTCAATCAAGAACAGTTCGCCACCCTCTGATACAGGTCCCATCCCTGTTCCTCGCCCGCGTAATCAGATAATTAGCCGCCGACATACACCTGATCTAGTTCGTTTTCTGCAGTATTGTGTACACAATTATTGTTTCGTGATGTGGGTATGTACGTGTTTGTCGTGCGACAAGACAGACATGGAATATGCAGACAATATAATAATAATAATACTCCGCTTTTATATAGCGCTTAAAACATCTACGATGTCTCTATAAAGCGCTTTACAGATATATTATTACCCCGGTCAAACGAATAAAATAGCAAGCAGTGGTTTTGCACAGTAAACGTGAATATGGGGATGCATAAAATAGGAAGAACATAACAGAACAAAACAGAACGAGAGATAGAAAATGTGAGGAGGAGAGAGTCAGTATGATTTGGGAAGGGAGATACGGAGATAAGTGAGAGAGAGAGAGAGAGAGAGAGAGAGAGAGAGCTATAGTTAGAGAAAGAGAGGAAGACACACACACACACGCGCGCGATCGTGCACGCACACGCACTCACATAAACACGCACTAAATTATTATAGGCACAGGGAGAAAGGTGTGCTTTATCTGCACTGAATACATTCAAGCATCTTCAATTTGTCCGTATTGACATTTCTGAGATAAGACCTTCATGCACACAATGGCGTAACAAGAAATCGCTAAACGAGGGGGGGGGCATGTTATCTTAATGGATATGGAGGGTGGTTACGCAGCCCGTCTACTCAAACAAAACCGCTGATTTATTGATTTTTTTTTCTCCTTGACGCCCTCAAAAAGGAGGGGGCGCACACCGCCCCACCCTCAACCCCTCCCTGGGTTAGATTCACACCTTATTTTCCAGCTCATATTTTTGATATGATAAGCCTCTTTCTCAATCAATCAGAGGGTAAGCTACAGGTTCTTATAATATGCCCTACTTCTTCCTGGTACAGTTGCTATCTAGAGTAGATCGCAACATAATGTATCCCCAGTCTCTGAGGATTGGATGAGTCTCTCGATTAATTAAATTTAGACCTCAATCAATATCAGTCTACTCAATAGCATGATCAGCTACTCCTGAAGCCGGGGTAATCGTGCTTTACCCTACCATAAAAAGCACGCACTGCACAATGAGCGCTCGAAAAACGGATATGGCTGATTGGGCGGAAACTTAGGATAACATTGATGTTACGATTGTTCATTATAATAGCAGTATGTGATGCTGACATATCATGCACTGTTACCGCGTATCGCTGAAATTATATGAACTGTTATTTCTTGTTACTATGGTGATGCAGATTATGCCAACTTTAGGCGAGAAAGGAA